ATATCAAAAAGTCAAAAGGAAAGGAATCCTGTCGCTCAAAAGAGATAAAACGATAAGGAAGAGAGAGAGAGAGAGAGAGAGCGCTCTCCATAAGCAAAATCGATCGGCGCGTCCCTGGGGCCAGGGAGGGGGACCCTCCTAAGCTCCGGATGAGCTTCCGGTTCCAGAAGAGAAAGAATCGGGTCAGCGCGATGGATGAGATGGATGAGGAGCCTGTCAGGGCAGGAAAGGAGGAGGAAATCCTGAGAGAACACAAGGATGAGAGAGATTGATCCCCCATTTTGCATATCGTGGAGCCGACGCGAGGTGGTGTCATCTCTTTACCCACCCTTTCCCAGGGTCTGGATGAGATCATTCTATGTATGTTGTGTAGAGTTTTACTATTGCACATACACTTTTTCCAGAATACAATATACTTTCCAAGGTGATACACCGTGTATATAGGGTATATGATAAGAACCCTGCAAGCACCAGGTCTTAGAATCAATAGTTCAACGTCCCCTCGACTGCCGAGAAGAAGATACCGTTGCCGATCGCATAAGCCGACAAGGCAAGAGGCCAAAGTCCAGAACTCTCTCGAAAATGATTTCAAGATCGGCACTCTACTTCCCCCTGGCCGAAAAGAAGGGGGAAAAAGGAGTCAAGATCCGACAAAGCCGCGGATGCACGTGTTCGCCGGTATATGCGGGCCTAGCAGGAATGCCCTTGTCGCCCCTGAGTTTGGGCTCGGTACCTAAGATGAGGGTGGGTGATAGTGGAGAAAAGAAATTCAGACAGACAACCTATCGGGAGGCCACGAGACCGAGTGATCATCGCATAGTGTCGACTGGGCTCCACTAGGAGAGAAAGAAAGAAAAGAGAAAAAAGAGAAACTGCGCAATTCGAGTCTTGGCAAGGCAATATCTGTTTTCTTGCCAAGCATTCATCCGCTGTGCTGGGAAATAGTCACTTTCTAATACATACCTCTATGGACGTAGAACAGATGGGAAAGAGAGGGTTGTAATTCCTGGTTTTTTTTTTTTTTTTTTTTTGTTATGTTCACCCCCTGCTCCCCCACACCCGTAACACGTTCCCTGGAACGAAATGGGGAAGCACGATCTGACACAATATGATAGGTGTTGGGCTTATCCTCACGCTGCAGGACGGGTCGCGTCCCATGGGTTCAACCGTCGACGTGATGGATGTCATGGATCGCGTTGGTTCTGTTGACAGCTCGACCAGGTAGAGGAGACTATTGCATTAGCCTTTTGATAAGAACTACTTGACAATTGAAAATTGACCCCATTGCGGCCTCGGTCAAGGCGCAATCCAGCCAAGGCCATTGAGAGGCCATGACTAGGGAGTTCTCGCAAGCCCTGTAGCATATAGAGCGACATACACTGTACATACTGTACAGTATCAATTGGATGCTAATGATAATATGATATTATTATGACAGCATGCTCCTTTAGCTCCTCTAGCATCGCCCTGACAAGAGCCTCTCGTCGACTCCACTTGCGAGATGCGAGATGGGCAGGATTCGAGGGTGTCCACCCTGCGCTATACATAGTATACACCGGCGCAGCGCGGTGGCAACGACCATGGCGTAAGTTAGTGGAGATGAGGCTTTGGGAGGCTTGTCGGAAAATGACAGCCCGAATTCATGTATAAATTCGTGGATACCAAGCATACCAAGAACTGTGTGTATTCTACTGTTGTGGGCTGGTCCTGGTCCACCGGTGTATACATAGCATACTGTGTATATGTTTGGCAATCCCACGCCATCAACGTAATCTATCAGGTTATCTTCAAAGGATTGAATGGTTTACTCGACGATCGTTTTAGTCCACACCGGTTCGATTGCCTCATGAACTACAGAACCACAGAACCAACGACCTGCGCGTGGGGTCACTGCGACGATCCAGGGCATTTCAAGATACACGAGTCACCAGAGGGTCCACTTCACTTGCGTTGCTCCAAGTCTTGGCTGGCGCAGTGGCTTCGGAGGCAGATCTTATTATTTACCGTCGCCATGATGAAGGCTGGCCTTCTACTCATAGACAGACAGCAAAAAGAATTGAAGTCAGGAAGATTCAAAGGAATTGCAATTATCCAGCAGAGAAAATAAAAAGGGACTCGGGGGGTCGAGTGCAAAACCCCCCATATTATTCCCCATTTTCTTCCCCACCACGAACAACGAGCTTTCCTCGAAAGGTATTTTCTCCGAACTGATCAGCGAGGAAAAAAAGAAATTACCCGAGGCCACTGCGTTCTGCTGTTGGTGACGAAAAAAAGGCCAGATCACGTCTGGTATTGACCAATTTCCGAGTCAGGGAAGAGAGAGTGCGAGAGGCATGGGATGAAGGGTGCTCCCGCACACTTTTTGCGTGTGCATCACCCGCGTTCCTGCAACGTGCAGCACACCCTCGTACGCAAGACTCTTCACCGAGGAAAAAGAAAAAAAGGGTATTATGGTTCTGTCAGTGTCAAATCATGCAGCGGAAGGAAGTTTCCACCCTCGTGCAGACTCGAGCACGGCTGTGTGTGAGTGGGGAGGGAAAAGCTCTCAGCCCCCTCCTTTCTCCCTTTCTTCTCCCTTTCTCTCTCAACATATCTTTCCCATATGGATTGTTTTCGGCCCCCTCTCCACGAGACGATCGGATAGAACCAGGTCCCGCAAAGGAACACGCGAGGTCCTAATAATAATATACAAATCCTCCGCACGGGCAAGGTTCCATGCCGTCGGGGCTATCTAAATGACGATAGACGGCAAAAGGGGCCAGCTCTGAAAGACCTGGCAACGCAGAAAAACAAAATAAATAAAAAATACCATCTCGTCCCAGCAATTCAGCCATTGGGTCGATCGGATTCCTTGACTGCCGATCTGGCACCTGGGTTGCTGTTCGCTTATAGGAGATATTCTCCTTGCGAATTGCTGTCGGCAAGTGGATGCAATGAACCCATCCCAGCTACACAACTCGGTCCTTGAGTTCTTGATGGGGAAGGAGAGAGAGAGAGAGAGAGAGAGAGAGAGAGAGAGAGAGAAAGTAAGAGAGAGAAACCTGCAATACTGGGAACTGGGAGCATGGACATCGCGGGCTGCTCCCCCTTTGCTATATCTCTCTGCCGTAAATTCACGCTTGGTCCATGTGTAGGTTTGCGGAGATATAACCCTTGCGAGCATTAGAAATTAACATGGGGAGTGTTTCATCCTTTTTTAGAAGGAAGAGCCTTTTACAATGAATTCGATTATAGGTCTTGAGTATGAGCGTTTTACCGCACATATGCGAACTTAATATAAGCCTTCTCTTGGAGATCTGAGTTTGGATTGGCGTTCTTAGTGAGATATTAACTTCGAGTATACAGGGTAGTTGGTAAATTCTTAGACGGCTTGGTTGAGGTCAAAGTATAATGAGTCTTCTAGAATGGACGGATGAAATTGGTTATTTTAGAGAAAACTTTGTTGAATATAGTTTCGAGTCAATTCAAATGGACAAATGGATCTATATACTGGTGTGAGGTTCCAACGCGAGTCCCGATGGACATCGCTTGTATATACAATGGCATAGAACAACTATTAACGATTATACTAATTAATGGTAAGTGCTCGAAAGTATATTGAAAAAATCTCCGTTACTAGCTTTTAAAATATAGAAGGAGTCGACAAATTCAAGTATTGGCTGCGCTGCTAGACATGTGCATAGCAAGACTACTCTGGATTCAACATCAGCCTCGGTGACACCTTGGCATCTCTTTTTTTTTTAAAAAAAAATGCAATAGTCTCACTTTCTTTTTAAACAAATAATAGCTTTTCCGTCATGCCCAATTCTAGTTATTGGCAGAAGCCTGGACTGGCATCCCCTGCATTAACGCGTCCCAGGCTCCTTGGATACTTCCCAACTGTCAACCCAGATGTACAAACCACTTCGATTGATTGTCATTGGAATTGAATAGCATTGAATTGCAAGTAAGTCTGTACTTTGAATATCCTAGATATCGACATGACAGCCCTAAAATATCTGGTCGTGCTTGCTATGCTTCGAATCTATATCATCACTCGCTCGACGCGTCGCATAGTCGCGTAGTTAGGCCAACTTTCTCACGGCCAAGCAAGAACCTTCAATTGACAACTCTCATGCCTGTAGCATGAGTCCTTCCTGCAAAAGGCCGCCCCGGAAAAGTATCTAAAAAAACCTTTGAGCAATGACAGCCTAAAAGTATAAGATATGCCTCAATAGCATCAAGACCGCACTTGACTCGTGGAAGGAAATTCGCGCCAGTTTGCCAGAGAGTTGAGCCACAAACATGAAGAGTATGAAAGACTAACAATTCGGGTTGCCATACTAGATGGCTACCAGGAAAGCATCGCACTGACAAAAGACTCTTTAACAGAAACGTTTATCGCAGTTCATTCAAATAAAACCAAAAAACACCAGATCCAAAACAATGAATCTCATCTTCTGTATCGCTATATTTCTCTCTGTCGTCGCCGCAGCCCCCGTCCCACCTCTTTACCGACGAAGTCTGCTGCCAGACCCCATGCACGCTGTAGATGCACTCCTCACTCGGGGATTCCGCAGGTTGTGTCGAGGATGGCAGGGAAGCTGAATACCTCATGTACGGTTTATATTCTGCCGCGCAAAGAGGAGAGGCAAGCTCACCGATGTGCTTTTTTTTCAGGACGAGGGATTTTGCGTATGTCGCCTTGCAAAGAACCAAGGGATACGGAACCTTAAAATAAGACATGGATGGATGGATGAATGGATGAGCAGAGGAACCCATTGCATTTGCATTTTTTTTTTTTTTTTTTTCAAGCGCAGCGAAACCAGCCAGAGATCGTTTTAAAAACCCAGTCGCATTCCAAAATTAATCAAGGAGACAGTTCCTGTCGAGAAGATCAATTGTCATGAAAGTCGATGGAATAAGTCAGCCAGGAGATATCCCAAATATATAATATAACCCCCAATGCGACGCACGACATATCTCTCTATCCATGGATAGCAAAAGCCAACATCACACAATCAGAACATGCCCTCCATGTCCAGATCCAGGAACTCGGGATTGCCGACCGCCATATCGGCAGCATTCAAGACATCGTCGATAGCATCCATGCCCGCACCAGCATCCAGCCCCATCTCCTGGCCGACGCCAACCCCGCCATCCATACCGGCCGCGGCGGCAGCAGTTGCCTTATCGAGCATCTGGTTGATGTTATCCGTATCATCGTCGCCAACGAGATGATCCCCGACGGCAGCAGCAGCAGAAGGCTCGAGGTCCATGCGATCATGCGAATCGACGCCGAGATGCATGTTCTGGATGATATTCGAGACATCAATATTGGAGACCTGGGACGGCGGCGCAGACAGCACGCTGACGCGGCGCCAGAGGCGCACGACAACTTCAGCGCGCAGCGGGTCCTTCTCGGAGAGTTTGGGAATGGTCTCGTGGTGCAGCGCGAGGGCGTCGCGCAGGGTCAGGATCGGGCAGCGCGGCGGGGCATCCTCCTTGGAGGCATCGACTGGGTGGTGGTGGCTGTTCTGGTCGACGGCGAAGGACTCCGCCATGGGCGCGCAGATCATCGTCGCGGCGATGTCTAGTGTCAGGTGCCCGCTGCCGGCTTCGGTCTGCTGCTTCAGCTCGTCGACCAGGGCTTCCAGGATCCGGGTCGCGCCGAGCATGCGGATGCCTGCCAGGAGCTGTCGGTGGGTGTATGAGTGCGGTGCCATGCTGGTTTCGGGGTTCGCGCTCCAGAGAACCAGTGATTGCAGTGTATTGCGGATGCTGCCCACCAGGCCGCCCCCGGAATGCGAGGTCCAGCTGTCCAGTTCAGAGCGGTGGCAACTGCCCACGCGTCGGAATGAGAGGTACGGCTCGAGCGCATCCAGAATTGGTTTGATGTCGGTCCGTGCTTGGTGTCTGGTCCGCACGTCTTTTAGTTGCTCCTCCAGGGGACGGCCTGTGATATTCAGAACGGTCTGGTGGATGGCTTGCGCCTCGCCGGAGATGGAACTAGGTTTGACCAGAGAGTAGAGGGTTTTGAGAGGAATTGTGGGATCGGTCTCCGATTCCCAGATGTGATTACCCAGCCAGGTCAACGCGACGACCAGGGACGGCAAAAGAAATGGTTCAAGCAGATCTAAACTACTCTTAGCCACGAACATTTATCAGTAATGGGAGCATGCTCACATTCAAATCCCCCTTTGAGAGTCTCGAAGTCCAGTTTGCTGGACTCGCATGCTCCGAGACTCTGGTCAAACAGCGTCGCCACCAGCATATAGAATTCATGAGGACTGCAGGTAGACATAGTTTCTTCGCTGATGCCCTCAGCAATGAACAGAGCCGCAATCCAATCTCCGAGGTCTTTGTTTTGTTTCTCGCTAAGCTCGTTCAGCTTCTGGCTGCAAGAGCCTCGGTCCAGCAGCTTCAGCAAGAACGAGTCATTGCTGGAAATCCCCATGTCGGAGGGACTTAGGTCGTAGCGGTATTTGAAGACAAGCACCAGCAATAAAATGCTGCCGAACTCGTCGTACACAGGCTGGTTCTCACCCTGTTCCTCGTCCCACCGCCATGAATCCAAAAGAGAACAAAGCGGCTGGAGGATCTGTTTTGTGGTTCGGAAAAGCAGCATGACGTCCAGTGCCTGCGGTCGACGCGAGAGTGAATTGCACACATTCTTAAGGGTCACCGTCTCTTTTTGGTGACAAAGATGATGCATAACCTTGAGCCGTTGTTAATTAGTGGTTTGTAGTAAACCCAGGGTATCTAGGCCCATACCTCAGTGGTTGCACCGACGATCGCGCCCGCATTTCCCTCCATCGACTCAATTTCTCCAATCAGCTGATCTCCGCGTTCGCGCGTGCTTATTTGCGACACGAGCTCGTCCTTCACATACGGGCCCCCGCTGGATAACGTCTGCATGGGGTTCTCTCCCAGAAGCTGCTCAATGCTCGACTCTTGGATGAGCTTGTGAGAGGCACAGGCAAACAAAAACTCCTGGCGAGCGTCGGATAGGACACTGCTGCCCTGCATGGAAAACATCTGGGAGAAGGAAGGGAAAGCGTTGGGGTCGAGTCGGCTCAGCGCTTGGCTAATACACATCTCCATGGAAATCGGCACCATGGACGCAGCCGAGATGGCAGCAAAGAATACAGGGAGTTTGTTGACCAGGAAAGACCGGAACAAAAACATTGTTCGGCTGGATTCGTTTCGGTAGACTCCGTTGGACAGGACGTCGAAGGCAGCGGTGATAATCTCCTCGATGAGGACTTCATTGTGGCCCTGGAATAATGTCAGACACAGGGTCAGGCTGACATAAAATGGAATAAATAGACAAAATGTAGCACCCACTTGGTATCGGTTGGTAAGGTAATTGATCAAAATAGAATCATCGACCAGAGGACGACCTGCTAGCTACAGCGGAGTTAGCAAGCTTCTAACAAACACAGGGCATAAACCTAAACCGTACCACGGCGTTGAGATACACATAGAGACCAGCTCTCGTGTTGATAGCAGGGACATCCATGACAGACGCCTCAAATTGAAGGGCATTCACATTCATGCTCTCGATGGCGGGATCGTCCATTAGTTTGGAGGACTGGTCCCCAAACAAATTGAACTCTTTCTGTAGCGCATCAAGCCGATGGCGTAGCGGCAAAGATACGTCGACGCAGAAGGGCAAGTATGTGGACAGCGCATGGCCCAATTTGGTTTTCAGCGCTACAAGCAGTGTCAGTAAGTGCAGTTGCGAGACTAAGACAAGAGACAAGGCTTACCTTGATGGAAGTCACTGGACAGCACCTCCAAGCCCTTGTTCGTCCCAGAGAGCGCGGCGAGGAGAATCCCAAGCGACTCAAACAACGACACTGCATCCGGGGAGCTCATCAAGCCACCAGTCTGCTGGGACCCATCGAGGCTGCTATTGTGCCAAGCAACGACGGCCTCAATCCACTCCACAGCCACAGAGTAGATTTCAGCCGCCTCAGCGATGGTCCTGGGAAGATTGCCCGTGGAAACCCACAGCATGACATTCTGAACGACCTTGGTATCGGTCATCAGCGTGTCAACCTTGCGTTTGCGCTTGGGGCGCTGGGAGTCAGGTGACGACGATGACGACGTCGACGAGTCCTGCCTATCGAGCATAGAGGAGTTCTTCAGGAGACAGGCCAAAGCCGAGGAGGGCTTGACGATCCCCAGCTTGCAGAGGCCATCGACGTAGAGCGGGAACAAGGGGTCCCAGGGGTGGTTGGAAGCAGCACGATGCTCCCACAGCAGGTCGAGCAGCTCGGCCTCTTTCAGTGGATGGCGCATGAACATCAGCTTCGACAAGTCCTTGAACTTGTCTACATCTATGCGCTGCGCCAAACAGCGGCAGAAGAACGTCCTCCATTGTTCGGATGATGCCATGTTCGGCAACGTGGCGGAGGTCCGCGGCACATAACACTCCCCAGGTTGGTTGGTATTTAATTAATTATACGCGCTTCCGAGCTAAGAATGCATTTTTGCCCGGGCGGTGTTCTGGAATCCAATTGATTCCGATCTTTTTGGATGCAGAGGGAGCGCGTCGCTGGGCGGTCGCATGTCACGTGGGTATTATCTAAGAAACTCGTCTGTATATCACGTGACTTATAGATCGAGATCTTTCGGAGCTGCGTTAAGATAGTCATAAAGATAGTCATAAAGTGAACAAGGTTGGCATGCAGAGTTCAAAGGATATACCAGATCCTGTAGGCTTGTATATACAACTTGGTTAAAGCAGATCCAGCAGAGGACGTGGCCCGACTCATCTACAATAGCAAGTCTACGCAGACATTATTATGGATTTTCTTTTTTTTTTTTTCAAATTCATTCAAATTCATTATTATCATGACGATCCCAGCAGCAGACTAGAAACAACAGCGGTGCTCAAGGGGAATATCATCAAATGCAAACATTAGAAAAAAAAAAACCAGCGCCTCTATCCAAAACCCGCTCAACAGGAAAAAGGGTAACAAAAGGAAATGCTCAAGTAAAAACCACAATTCCTCTCCACAGAAGAGGATGAAATGTCAAGTCATCTTTTGCTTTATTGGGGTGACTGATTTACCACCAGTCACCGTGGTCCTTCATGGCCTCGACGACCTTGGTGAAACCGGCAATGTTGCTACCGGCGACCAGGGAGGGCAGGACACCGTTACCGGGAGTGACGTACTCCTTGGCGGTAGCCAGACCGTTGTTGAAGCAGTCCTCCATGATACCCTTGAGGCGGCTGTCGACTTCCTCGGTGGTCCAGTTGACACGGGCAGAGTTCTGGGCCATCTCGAGACCGGAGACGGCGACACCACCGGCATTGGCGGCCTTGCCGGGGGCGTACCAGATAGCGGCGGCGCCCTGGTTAGCCTCACGGTGGGCCTCGAAGACGTCGATGGCCTCCTGGGTGCTGCCCATGTTGGAGCCCTCGGCGATGAACTTGCAGCCGGCAGCGATCAGGGCCTTGGCCTCATCACCGGAGACCTCGTTCTGGGTAGCGGAGGGGAGGGCGACGTCGATGCGGCCGGCGATGTTGGTCCAGGGGCGGGCGCCGGCAATGTACTTGAACTTGGAGCTGAAGGGGGCCTGGGTGGCCAGCTCGGCGATCTGCTTGCGGTCGACCTTGATGGCGGCGATGGTGTTGATCTCCTCGGGCGTGAAGCTGCCGTCCTCGCCGGCCAGCACCAGCGAGCCCTGGCTGTCGGACAGCGAGATGACCGAGCCGCCCAGCTCGATGACCTTGAGCGCCGCGTACTGGGCGACGTTACCGGAGCCTGAGATGGCCACGCGCTTGCCGGCGAACGACTCCTTGCCGCCCGAGGCGTGCTTGATCATGTGCTCGACGTAGTAAACCACACCGTAGCCGGTGGCCTCGGGGCGGATCAAGCTACCACCCCAGCTGCCGCCCTTGCCGGTGAGGATACCGCTCCACTCGTTGCGAATCTTCTTGTACTGGCCGAACATGTAGCCGACCTCACGGCCGGTCACACCGATGTCACCGGCGGGGACGTCAGTGTCGGCGCCGATGTGCTTGCAGAGCTCGCTCATGAACGAGACACAGAAGCGGCGGATCTCGCTGTCGGTCTTGCCCTTGGGGTCGAAGTCGGAACCACCCTTGCCACCGCCCATGCTGAGGCCGGTCAGGGCATTCTTGAAGATCTGCTCGAAGCCGAGGAACTTCAGGATGGACAGGTTGACCGAGGGGTGGAAACGGAGACCACCCTTGTAGGGGCCGAGGGCGGAGTTGAACTGGACACGGTAACCACGGTTGATTTGGACCTAATGAGAGAATTAACATTGGCGATGAAATGAAAATGAAAAGCGTAAAAATGTACCTGACCCTTGTCATCTTCCCAGACGACACGGAACTGAACAACACGCTCAGGAACCGAAACGACCTGCAGGGCCTTGCGGTACTCAGGCTTCTTCTGGAAAAGAGTGGAGTTTTCCAAAGTCGAGGCAAGCTCTGTTCGGCATGATTAGCTGAGCCACTTCCCGAGATTTGTCGCCACAAGCCGAGATGCCGATGCGAGATCGGGACAAAGTGAAAAAAGGAAAGATAAAAAAAAAAAAAAGGTAATACACACCCTTGTAGGCCTGCTCGAACTCGGGCTCGTAGGGAATGTTGTGCATCATTGCTGCTAAGTGATTTTTTTTTTTTTCTCTCTAGGGTCGGAAAGGAAGATCGGCTGGCGATCTTATATAGATTCAAGGAATTAAGAGAAAACGAGACAATTGCTCTGTGGGAGACCCTTGGATAGATGGATTGGGAGAGGAAGAAGAGATGAGATGAAGAAAAAGAAGAGAGCGACCGTAGGAGGGAGAGACTACATGGTTATATACAAGTCCGGGAGCAGAGAGGAGTGGAGAGGGAAGCCGGAGTCGGACGAAAAAGTCGGGGCCACACACCGGGGGAAAAAGAAAATCAGAAAATCAATAATCAATAAATGAAGAGAAAAAAGACAAGAAAAAGAAACGGACAAGTTACCATGCCCTCTCAGATTGTAGCACAGTTGGAAGAAAGTCCGAAGTTCGGGGCGCGGCAAATGTTATCTTATGCTTTAAGGTCACAGTTTGCTTATCACCCCACCACTTCCCGATTTCGTCGGTCCTCTCCGATCGACACTCTTACTACGGTCTACTTATTACTTATTCCTTATTAGTATATTGGTATGGTATATAGTATATTAATTATTAATTAGTATATTAGTATATAGGATATAGGATATATCCAGGCCTGTATTCAGGTAATCATCTATATCCTCAACGACATTGGACAATGCGGGGCACTGCTGATCTATGCAGGTGGGATCTACAAATCCTGCCCGGGGTACGATAAAGGGAATCCGACAGTCATTGTAATTATCCCACGCATCCAACGATCAGCCTCCAGCTGCCTTGTTCGGCATTTCCCTTCGGGTGTCTGGTCACGTGGGCTGCCGCAAGCGGAAAAGTCCCCTCCGCTCCACCGGGCTTATCTGATGTGCAATTTATTTTTTCAAGCCGCTTGACTCACCGGAAATGCACACTGGCTAGGGCCTTTATCAGTCTCCCAGCCCTTCCCGGTCTCGGGTGGTTTGAAGAATAAATTATTCAATTATTCACGGACCACTGCCCCCCCTCCTCCACACAGGATTTGAGGGGTTGAGGGGTGAATCCACCAGGGCGTAAATGTCAGTCACTGGCTTTTCGTTATTCCCTGCTATTCTGTGACCTGAGCATTAGATCGAAGATAATCATCATGATATTATTAAATATTAGTATAATATATTCTGCTGCATTATACAAGGTAAACCCGAGTCCAGGGTAAGCTTCTCCCAACCCCAGGGAGTCTCAGGCACCGCCAGCCACCAAATGCCAAGACGTGAGGTTAACCCCGTTTGACTTTGCCCCGATCGGAGTGCAACTCGGACCTGTCCCTGTCCCCGTCCCCTCCCCAGGGTCTACGTCAGCTGGAATATTGGCGGCAGCTGCGCCCGACCCCGGACAGTCGCCACATAGTTCAAAATGGGTGAGATGTTCGCATCCTTTGGGTCACCCGAGGTTGGTGGTCATCGGGACACTGTGTTGTGACGATCAGTCTAAAAATGAGGAGTTGTTGATTTTCTATTCCTTTTATTTTTTTTTCTTTTACTAAAAGGCGATGGTAATATTGATCAACTTACCCTCAGCAACTTCTTGCTATCTGTGGCAACCTAAGATTGTGAAGTATATATACATACCCCAGGAATGATGGCACAGTGCCCAGGAATGATGGCACAGTGCAGCCATCCATGGATGTTTGGCTCCGCGCCGAACTAAGTGGGACACCCAAACCTCTGAGATTTTCCCTGCAGATCAAGAAGCTTAAGTGCTTCTGGATCCGCTGACTGGCCACTAAATCACTCGTTCGAATTAGTTTCTGCATGGTGCGAGTGGGTGCATATCTATAGTGTTAAGCTCATACTTGGCTCGGTATAAGTTGTGATATTATCACTTTAGTATATGGCTGTTATGCTTGAGATAGATAGATGTTGATCTGGTTATTATGCAATACACCTGGATAGCACTATCCCTATGTCCTATACCTCTAATAATACAAAGAGTCTTAGAAGCTTTGATCTCAAAATTAACTACTACTTAGTAAACTCTAAAACTAGTCGAGGTTTTTAGTTTATACTTTATCAAAGAGGCTACAAAAGAAAGTGCCAAAGAGGGGCCGCAATGTCTTGCAATCCCTCCCAATCAATCCTATCGCCTATTTCTATTGGGCTTACAGTCGATTGAAATAATAGCCTGCTAGATTTAATTATAAACAAGCTCCCTGCACTTTAACATGATTATCCTCACCTTTTGGTATGGTAATTCTCTGTGTGCAGTAAGTTCAATTATTCAAGACCTCTCGATTCTCAATTGCTATCCCAAACAGACCTCTATTAACACCAAGAGCCAATACAACCTTACCGCCGCCACCAGACTTACACAGCCAAACCAGACACTAAAGCCGAGCTTTTCCTGAAGTTCAATCACTGTAGCCTCGAGATCGACCTAGGGGAGATCGAAACGGGCCCCATCCATGACCATCTTGTTTTCCTTTACTTTTGTATTGACAGTAGTGCGAGAGAAACATTGTCGAGCCCTATATGCAACAATACACGGTCCAGCGCTCTGATGGCATCATATTAATCAGAAGTCATGTCTCCGATGTCATAAATAAAGTCTACAAGTAACAAATTTAACAAAGTCTTCAGTAGATCCAAGGATATCTTTCACGGAGTTTGTGTATCTACTATCTTAATATGTCCTAAGTCTAAGAGCATTACCATTAGCATTAGCATTAGCATAAAAAATATATAACTTGTAACGTGGAAATAATGCAATAGCAAGGACAAAGCGAGGGGATATAGCCAAGAACTCAAGGGCATCGGCGATCTCCGCAAGCACTGAATTCCGATATAAACCCAAAAATACCAAAGAGCTAACATCAACACTAGCAATAACAATAATAGGCGGGAATACTTGACTAGTTTCCCTATCAATGACATATTGCTTTTACTCAAAGGGTCTTTCGCCCCGCTCCCCGCGGGCATAATTGCTTTTGCCGGCCGAGTCAGCCAGGTCAACTGACTCTGAATTATTGTTGATCCTATGACGCCAGGGCTAGCAAAGATGGGCCTTGGTTATTGTTTTATTTTTATTTTTCGTTTTTATTTTTTATTTTTCGGATTGGACATCCTGTAGGGCTCTTTAGTCGTGTCGCTTCTTGCGAATAATTGCGTTAGAGCGGGGGACTCTGCACTGGGGCGTATTGAGAGTTGATAGATCACCTCGGGAAATCAACTCGGGTCGGCATATGTGAATGATGTGTAATTAAGCATTGGATTTACCAGAAATGGTATCTTTATTGCATAGTAGTGGTAGAATATACTCGATTCATGAGGTTTGAAGTCATAGTACTGCTATATACTAATGGTTTTGGACATGGATCATTAGTTCTGGAGCGCATTGACATAATAATAAAAATCATATATCTTCATAGTAAGATGACAACTCCAAGATCATCTCAGTATATTCATTCTAAGATCCTCGAGTAAGCAAGTGCCTCTGACCCTGACATCAACAGCGTCCATGGGTACACAGTACAGTAGTACCGGCTCCTTCCAGAGCCAATGACGTCTGCAGCTCATCGGGCACCAGCGCAGGAGCAGGATCGGTGGAGCGTAAGCGTAACGGCACATGGCAACCAATGGGTCCAGGAACAGTGCAGGCACCACCTTGAAACAGGAGCCGCAGGAAAAAACTAGAAATCTACATGCATCGTACAGGTTCTGAAACTCGACGGGCCCCCAAGTGGTCTCTACATATACGAAGTAGTATGCATGTCAGAAAGCAAATAACCACAGAATCGACAGCAAGCAGAAATCAAAGGAAATATAATCATAGGCCTAGTTTAACTTAGCCTTGTTGTAAATAGTAATAATAATAATAGGAGTAGTAGTAGTAGTTTGACGAAAGGGGTTGCAGAAGTAGACAACTAATAGGGAATTCTATGGTAAGCCGGCGCCAAAGGATTCATGGATGGCCCTAAACCGACTGGGGTTCCGGGTGCATATCCAGGAACACATCAGCGGTAGATGATCATGCAGAGCGCGTGGCAAACCGGAATTTGCTTTTTCCCTTGAAGGACAAGATTCAACATCCAATGAATATTGAATATTGAAGTTGCTCTAAATTATTCTGGTGCCTGGCTGTATACGCGCCGTCTCCACACCTGATGGTTTATATCTGCATGAATAATTAACAAGAAGTAAGATCGAATCCAGTGGGGTCTATAGGGATCCCCCAGAGTGCGGTATGTCGCGGTGTGTTGCTCACCGCACTCTTGCGATGGGGCGTGGACTTGGTTGGGTCTAGCACCTGTCGATCTTTTGGAGATGGTTTGATGAACTTGACAGGTGAGATATACTATCTACTTAATTGTATACAATCCTTGACTTATACTACTACCTAGAAAGGGAAACTATGTAGAGAATAGTATACAATAGATGCCTCCACATGTGGCAAATAAAAAGAAGAAATATCAGAAGAATAGATCAGTTTCAAGTTCAAGAATCCGATCAATGCCACTACAATTGGCTTAGCCAAGAGAGGCGGAGCATATCACCCCTGGCCCGCGATCCTATTTCGCGCAGGTGAAGGACCCGCATGTTGAGCAGAAAATAATCATTGAAGTAAAAAGGGAGAAAAAAAAAGGACCGAGAAAATTACAACTCGGCCAAGGTCAACCAATTCCCAAGCATTCATAATAAAAGTGGGAAAATGGCCCAAATCCACTTATTGATCGGCTCTGTCACTTTTTTTTTATGGACGCGATCGGGGGTAGAGATTGGGCTCCGCTTTAGGGGCCAAGGACTTACAGTGCACGATGAGTGGTCCCTGCGGATTATTATGAGATCCTCGTTTCTCTAGGTAGTGACGCCACCCGTCACAGAGAAATTTATAGATTTTTTTTTCTTTTTCTTTTTCTGGTGCAAGTGGAGATCCAGGGGCGGCTTGATTCTCGGCCCCTCAGCTCTGAGAAAACAAGTTCCGAGTGAAAAAAGAAAAGAAAGAAGGGGAAAAAAAAAAACAAAAAAACAAAAAAAGAGAAAGGATTGAGTACACGCGATTATCCACGCTAGATTCCCCTTGGCATCTCGACATCCCGCTGAGAGCGCATCTGACTGTCCTCGTGGTCAAATTCCAATCATGACTAGACGCCTTGCAGCAACCCTTGGAAATTGGCCCCTGATCCAAAAGAGCCAAAAATACAGAAAATAATAAAACAAAAAGGAGAGGTGGAGAATGGCGGTTATTAGAATCGACGCCATCTCGAATGGACAGGCCAATCGGTGCCAACAATGAGATCTCTTTATGCAGACGGGAGAACCAGCCTTATTGGAGTATATCCAGGTACTGGGGCCTGTGCCCTCTTTTTCCTTTTTTCTTTTTTGTTATATGATATTCCTGGACCCTGTGACACCCAAGCCCTAGCTCATCCAGATCGGACCGGATAGACCCGTTTGGATGGATCCGATTCACGTATACATCTCTCTCCACGATCTGTGAACGTTCCAGAATAAACTTTCGATTTGCTTTATTCTAATCTTTCTTTTCTTTTGTTTTCTTTCTCTTCTTCCCCTTTTGTTCTCCCCTGAGGTTCTTACTATCCTTCATTCTCAACCATGTACGTTCCTTCTTTTGCTTAAACCAATCCCCCCCCCTCTATGGGCTGCCGAATCTTCTCCCCCTTACCTGGTGATCGTGTCATGAGTGACCCTAGATGGCTCGCCCCTAACCGATGTCCATGAACAAGCCCCAACCTGGCCGAGGACTCGGGTCTGTCAGGAAGCTGTTCCGTTCGGCACCCCAGCCCTCCACTTCCTCTTCCCGACGCCGAGTGTCTCTCCTAGTCCGCCGAGGGAGGGAACTGCTGTCAAACAAGTAATCCATCCCTCCCCAACGCTTTTTTGCTTTGCCTTTCGGTTGGAGAGCTGTCTGGTTTTTGGTGTTGAAAAACGTGATGGCACATCAACCCCGCTGGCAGATCCTCCCATACCCAAGCACCACACGAGAGACCAAACACACACACACAACCCCCCCAAAAGAAGAAGAAACTAAAGGCATTGGCAAACACAGACCCTCGGGACACACTCTCAGCCCGTCTAGACAGCCATCTCCATCCATGAATTCGAACCCGCACTTCGATCCGGCCACCATGATCGACCTGGCCGGCGCCTCACCCGGCCGAACAGAAGACAACTTCGACATTTTCGAGTGGTACCCATGCTATCAGAGCTGCCAACGCTACTTCCTCGACCATGCGCAGCATAGCGTCCCCGTGCAAGCGCTCTCCGCATTCCTGAACATCCGACTCCCCTTCCAGCGCCAACCACACCCAGTCTTCAACTCTACGCCGGTGTCATCAGCATCGTCGTCTGGTCAAATCCCCGCCACCGGCCTCCCACCCCCCGGCCCACCGTCAGTTTCATTGATCCCGTACCTCCGCCGGCTCGTGGCCACGGGAATGGACTTCCCGGGCGTGTTGCACGGGTTTTTTGGCGATGACTGGGGCAGCGGGGTCGGTCCGTTGCACGAGCAGGAGCGGCGCAATTACTTGTTTGCCGCGAAGAGCGGCGGCTGGGCATCCGTGAAAAAGGACTACGACATCCAGCCATTGGAAACCATTCCCTTTCTGCGCCCGCTACAGGGACCCCTCGACGCCGAGATCGAAGCCGCCGAACGCAGTTGGAGCGAGTGGCTCGCCATGGAGGACTGGATGGTTGGCCCGCGCGCTCCGGATATTCTTCACGACTCGTCCTCGCAGAACTCGCGGCCACGAAGTTCACGCGACTGATTCCTCACCCCCCCCCCCCCCCCCAAACCATTCTTCTTCAACTTTCGCCTTTTGTTTCTTTACGAACTGTGTTATTTTATTTCTTTGTGTGTCCGGGGCATCTCATATATCGGGTCGGCGATATGGCGTCCAACTGAGTGCAAGTCCCTCCCTATTGGTCTTGAGCGATTTTGTCTCTTCCATTCAGCGGCTGCTTTGGTATATTATCCACGAAGACTCTTTTGTTTTATGCCGGATTGGTTGCGATTACGGACTACGATTTTATCAGTGGGTGGATTTAATGACGCCGTCCACTCAGAAAAAAGAAAGATTATTAGATGGATATATAGATATAGATGCATCTCTATATTATATTCAATTCCATACCTAAAAAGAAAGAAAATAAGAAAAGGGGCAGGACAAAACAGTATGCAACGGGGGGACACGAGGACTCCCCATTCTCGTCCCGACAGACTGGCTACGACCAGCAATGCCAGAGCCGTGGTTATTACATTTGAAAGGAATTACTACAAATTACTAGAGATTATTACGGAGACATTCCGTTCCCACTGCGACTTCTCGGACGGGAATAAGCAATATCTGTAGGACAAAACCAAGACAAAAAAAAAAAAAAAAGTGCCCAGCTAAGCACTAAACCAGGGAGATAGAGAGAGAGAGGGACGTCATTCTGGCCCCGGGCAGCTTGGTGTAGTTGACTCTGTGATGGAGGACTATCACTGCCATTGCCAGCAAGTGAACCGTGCGAGGATTTTTCCTCCAGTTTACTAGTCATTTCTTTCATTTCATTCATTCATTTATTTTCTTTCATTTCTTTCTTTCTTTCTTTTCTAATAAAAAGAAAGTATTGACCGGCCCAGGATCGGTGAACCGCCTTTTTTTTTTTTTTCTCAACCCCACTGGTTTGCGCTTGGCCGCTGTGGACACCCCAGAAATCCAATTACCGTCTTGGCCGCAGATGTCTATCCTTTGGGTTGAAGTGGAGAACGGAGGACTTCCCTTGCACGACACTGGTGAGATGATTGGAGATCGGATGTGAATTTCTCAAGAGAATAATAATGATACTAGGTCGATTTCTTGCCTAAATATTAGCTATTATAAATCCGTATAACTGGTATATAGGGTTGGCAACACCCGAGTTCTATACTAATGACCAAGGATATTATGGTAGAGTGCTAGTAAAGCCGAAAAGCTACGCAGGCCCTAATCGGCTTCACATAGACTTGTCTTCTTGCCAGGGGTGTAGTTTCCCAAGGACAGAGCCAATAAGGTTGTTCTGGAGCATTCGACGGGACGAGAATCGTCCGAGAATAATTCTTATCTTATTCTATAGTCATATTATATCATATATTATACTACTAACATGTACAAGATGTACATAGTATGGAAGGAAAATGTGGCGCGGCTGAAACGGGGGCCTGGCGTGCTCTTAGTCTGCCAATCCTTTCTTCCTTTTTGCCTCCTTGCCCTTTCCCTTCTCCGAGTCTCCCCTGAAAATGAATTTCTTCTCCACTTGGAATATCTCTTTGTATTTTGCTATTCCTTATTTTCTTTTTATTTTTTTGCCCCTGTCTCTTTCTATGTGTGACATCTATCAAAAAAAGAAATTCTCCGGGATCAACATATACTTGTACCGCATTGGGACTACGGCGCATAATTTCTTCTTTTCCTTTCTTTGTCTCTTCTCAAACTAGTTATGATCGTCACTGAGAAAGGAAAAAAAAACAAAGTCCGAAAGAATCTCGCCTGGTCCGCTGAAGTATTCGGTCTAGCGGACATACATTTGCGCAAAAGACCCTCCACATCCCACTTAGTGATTCGAGGAGGGGCGGGTACGAGATTGTGAAACGTAACGGCTGCCGTGTGTCCCAGAGATTGACATGGATCTCTCTTCGACGATGATTGCAAATCCCCTAATTATAAAAATAAAATCTAGGCACTCAACAAGGTTGGAACCATGCATGGACCTATTGCGCGGTTACTAAGTATGTATATATGCGAGACGATCCATCCATGGATGGATGTACAGTAAATCAATGCACATCAGTGGATTCTTGACTATTCGAGTAAGACACCCGATGCTAGACGCTGCTAATGGCCAGGGCCGAAAATGTTGACAATGCTCAGGTGGACAGAAATGAGTGATGTGTCGCGGGGCCTTACTTACAAGAGCATCTACACCCATTTTAGGCAATCCCCATCTGCTTCCATCTCTCCAGCCCTTTTCTACGTTAAATCGAGTATGTATGACAACCCCCACCTCAACGCTATGTCTGTCTCCTCCCAGTGGACCTCAAGATCGAGCCCAACCTTGGGTCGTCGTGTTGGAAACCACGGAACTCGCCATCTTGGGTCGCGTTCGGTCGACTCCATTCAAAACGCCTGTTCGTGTCGGATGCTGGTTCGGGAGGGGGATTACAAGCCCTAAGTGGGTTGGTTTAGTATGTGTAGGCCACAGGATCTGTTTTGGGATGTGGTACAAATGTGTAAGAGATGAGGGGGTTGAACGAATGGTGATTTCTATAGCAAGTAAAGTCCAGAAGAATAGATTGCTCTATCCAAAGGAAATAGCCTCATGATGTCTCCCTAGCTTTAGACCCAATGCTAGTGTCTGGCCTTTCTCGGTACACCCTGGGATTGCGAATGGGTATATCTTAAAGGAAACCGGATTTCTAGGCCGACAAATAATAATGATAAGGAATTGATCTCCAACACCTTACTTCATTTCATGCATTCTAGTGAAACTACTGGCGACCAAATGGCCCTTTATATTGGACAAACTCTTCTTGTATCCTGTATCATGGCATTTTCGAGTGTTAAGCCCAAGCTGACATACTGTTCGTGGAGAGTATCTTTCAGGGCCTTTTCATCATTCGTTTTATCAAAGGCAAGTAGTTCGTTCTTGTTTGCAAATGCCCTTGCAAAATAAAGTTGATGGTGAAGTTGACAGCCAGCCTTTCAAAAATCACGAGTCAATTAGATACTTTATTCCGCGGGCGATATTGTTGGAGAGATGACTTTTGCATATCCATGAATGAATCTTTACAAGACGGTCACTGTCGATATCTCTCTCGTATAATCACGTGATCATACCCGGACTCACCCTAATACACATTGTCTCCCAAAGTTGAATTTTTTATAAAATTTGAATACCTATTCTTTTTCCCCCTAAAGCTGCCCAATCGAAGCGATGGGTATTAGACTGCAGCATAATATAAGAGCGTATTTTATGAAATAGACAATTATCACAGAAAGCATGAGGCCACCAACACCATCGCTGAAGTGCTAAATCACAAACTCACTATATGAGGGCAAGGACAGTAAATACACAGTAGAAAGTAAGATCACGCGGGATCAAGTAAATACCCAAGCTGGTCGATCATGTGAGAAGTTGAAACCGGGTATCTAGGAATCATCACATATTCAGGATGCAATGGTATGTGCAAGAAAGGAAAGGAATGGACAGCAGATCAGGAATCGTTTCGTCAATCCAAATTTCGCTGTCTTGAAGCAACCTCCCGGGACGAATTCGACCCTGTCTGCGAACTCGAGCTAGACTTGGACGCCGGAAGACCGCGAGACAGCGGGCTGGCATGGGTCTCTTCCGGAAGATGGAGATCGGGCACGGGGTCTGGGTCTGCGAGGAGGCTGCGGCGCCGCGATAGCACCCCTCCGATGGACGGGTTCTCTTTCTTGCGAGGCATGGAGTCGACCGGGGCACGGGAGCGACGGCGGTGACGGCGGAGGTATTCGTTGGGTACAGGGTCGACCTGCCTCTTCACGGCGGGGACGAAGTTGAGGTATAGCGGGAAAATGGCACCGGCACTGAACATTGCCACAAGAACGCAGTACGAATACGCTTCACCGTGGATCCGGGAAGCTGCGTAGCTGGCGAAGGGAGACCAGACGGCGCCTGTGACGGCAGTGGTCAGGAGAACGGCTGCGGTCTTGGTGTGGCGGGCAGTTCCACGCAAGGAGATGGCGAAGATGATGCTGAACGCGCCGCTTTCGAAAAGGTAGACCATCTGGGCCATGGCTATTGCAGCCGGACCGGTGGTCTTCATACAAAGGACCGAGAAGACAATCATGCCCACGTAGGAGACCAGAAGAATCCAGCGCGGTTTCAAGAACCACTGTGCAAAGGCAGCGAGGAATCGGCCAACGGCAAACAGACTATGGCCGATGGTCAAGAATTCGAACGGCCCAAGAGAAGAGTCATCACGGGCGGCGATGACGAAGCGCTCGAAACTGGTTGAGAGCGCTTCCTGTCCAGCCACATAGAAAAACTGCGACCACACCCCCAGCGCGAGAGTCAACCAGACCACGGGAACTCCGACGACTGTAGTCATGTTGTCCTCTCGGCGTCGGTTCGCCAGCTCGTCCAGATCTTCATCCGATGCCTCTGGTACCGGGAGGTAATAGAAAGCCACCGCCAGCAGGACATCAAAGAGAGCGATGCCAAGATACGTCCATTGCACATCGACCAGCGAAGCGACATCCTGGACACTCTTGAAAAGAACTTTCTTGGCCAGCAACGGTGAAGCGACGCTCCCAACAGCTTGCACGCCTTGGGAAATATTCAGACGGATCTCTGAATTTTCAAGTGGCCCACACAGCGCAATAAACGGATTTGCTGCCGCCTCCAGGATCGCAAGGCCGAACCCAACAATAAAGTTCGAAACAATAAACGCCGCTGGCGATGTGAGGACCGCAGAGGGCCAGAAGATCAGAGAGCCGCAAGCGTAGATGCATAGGCCAGTAATGAAGGTGGACTTGAAGCCCCAGATTTTCAAGACGGGCCGACCGACAAGCAGCGGACCTACGGCATAGCCACCAAAGTAGGCGCCATGTAGCCCGAAGGAGTGCCACGAGTCGAGTTGGACGATCTTCTGAAATTGGACGTTCAGGATATCGAGCAAACCGTAGGCGAATCCCCACAGGAAAAACAGCAGTGTTGTCAATGCTATGGGCGCTATGGATTCTCGGTTGTTCAGCTTGAGCATACTCTCGGGCTTTTTCATATTGACAAAATCGAAGAAGGTGATATCCGGTGGATAGGATGCGCTGGTTTGAACAGTGTTGGCCTCGGCGTCGTGGGGTCCTGTTTCGGGATGGCCCAGAAAATCCAGCATTCCCATTGGTTTTGAGCTCCGGCGGGTTGAAAGGCTATCGTTGCCGTTCTGCGATGGCTTGAATTGATTGCCTGCGGAAGGTGAAGATGAGGGCGCTGGACCACCAGCTTCTGGTACCACGGCCGCCGGAGGCATTGCGACGGGGCTCTCGCCTGCCCCGTAGTGAACATTGGGGCTGCGACTCAACGAATCATCCGCGTCTTTGATCAATTTCGGGATGAGTCGAGCCACTAGGGGCTTGAGACTCGGGACACATCCACAAATCACCGAGACGTTGACTTCGACAACGGACCACATAAACGATAGCGAGGCATACCCTATCCAAACACAAAAATTAGCACAGCCATATTTAGCATACGAGAGAAGAAAAAAACCATACAACTGAAATCTGCTCCCCCAACAGTTTGGATATGGATCTCCTGTATCGCCACCTGACGAGAAGTTGCCGCCCGTTGGATGAAAGCAATGCGAATCACGTCGACGACCGCCACGAAAAAACCGAAGCCGAAGGTGATGACCAAGATCGCCTTTTGTCTGACTGGAAGGCGCATCTTCGTCAAGAGCGGCATGGGGAGGAACAGTATAGCCAGATCGGTAATGATGTTCACCGGCGCAGACGAGAGATACAACGTGAGGATGTCGGTACAACGCGCGTACGACGGAATGGAGGAACGGAATGCAGCACCCACGGGCCGGCATTGAAACACATTTACCAGAGTCAAGGCCAGGCCCGCGGCATTCACCACTACCAGCGTGACATAGTTGGCCCATCGGTAGATTTTCTGGTTGCGCGTCAAAGTCAAGTAGAAGACAAGAATCGAAGTTTTGACAGTCATGAGCGCGGGGTTCTAGGCGAGGTGTCAGTCTGTCACCATCTCCCACCCTTCCATTTCCCAGAACACTGCTGGATACACCGGGAACTCACATAAAGAACCGTGAAGGCATAGTTGGCTTTATTGAGGGCATCCTGATTCTCGGGGAGAATATCGCGCACATGTAGCCCGAGGCCTTTATCTGTCGCATAGAACAACGAGAACGAAAAGCCAAAATCAATCACCTAATAACGTGTTAACCGACCCTATCGCGACATCCTCGGAAGCATGTAGGAACCAACACATACCCATGCGACCAACATCAAATAGTCGTGCAACGCGACCCGCCTCACCACGAATATTCGCGACACGAATCTGAGGGCGACGAAGATGCTAGCGACGACGAAGAAGGTGACCGAGACACCGAGGACTACCGGTCGGTGGCCCTGCATCATGACTACGGAGCCGTCACTGGGGACGTTCACGAGGGTCGAAGGTCCCTGAAATTTCAGTGGAATTTCCCTACCCATCACATCAGGGTGGCGTTGGGTTCAGAAGAAATCGATGCGGAGACCCCATCGTCTCTGGGGGGATTAACGCTTCGCAATGTCGAATCCGGGGGTGGGAGCCCGAGCGTGAGTTCACTTGGGGAAAGTTGGAGAAGGAAGAGAGAAAAAAGATGGAGAGACTTGGGTCCTTGACTGGGCCGATCACAACTGAATGCGGCATCCCCACGGAAGGCCCTTTGTTGCCTCACTTCCATGGCATTCCGGATGAGCGGTACTTTGTGGATGAGCGCGGAGGCGAACGCCACCAGAAACTCTAGCAAATGATTGAACCTGAGTATGAGGAAGCATGGAGTCAGGTGACTAATTCAAGTTGATTCTTTGGCTATTCGGTGCATTTCTAACTGAATCCTTCCAAGGTTGTTTCGACCAGTATACACCTCCCGCCATGTACGTAGTAGACCCTCTGTCTCTCTAGAAACTCCCTCGGGTACATAACAAGCAATCCTACTTTTACATGAACTACTTCTCAAGGATATAGAACATCAAAGAGTGCGATTAAAGTTGCGCCCCCCAGATCCTGCGGCCCCTGACAGCTTGGCGCAATCTGGGGGCTGATTGTCATTGATCTATGGCACTCGCAGCGAACATCCCTGGCATACAAGAGTATAGAGACGATCATGTCAGTTCGGACTAAATTATTGTCCCGAATTTGTCTCGGGACAAGCCAAGACGGCAGATAATCATCTCCCGCGATCTACAAATGACTTCACCTTGCAGTGCCATCCTCGGCTGCTACTTCGAGGGTTTCCTCGCGACAACCCCTCTCTCCTCTCGGTCGACCGAAGGGATTCCGATTCATTGTGAACAAGACAACTGCGTCAGTAGTGGGTTTACAGCGATGCGTCTTGCCGGTCGCCGCGGTCTATTGCTGATCGGGTGCGACCATCACATGGGAAGAGCTCGATTCTCGCTTCGAGCCGTGCTGCAGGAACAGCCGGAAGCGAGCTGCAGATCTAAATTGCTCAATATGCCTTGTGTCTGTTGGTGAAAAGCATATAAGGCCCACATCGTCTCTCGATGCGTTGACTAGCTCTCCGTTACCGATATCTCCAAACCTGACCAGGAAGAACTTCTGGAGTCTGTGCTGCCACCATGAGACTTGCCGTTCTGTTGGCTATTTTCGGCCTTCTGGCATCCGGCGTCCAGTCCAAATCTGCCGATGAATGGATCACCACCATCTGGGATCATTTCAAGGAAGCCGTGGACTGTTCAAGCTGCCAGGTATGGGGACAATATCTGACCGCACTTCAAGGGATGGCAGCTCATTGCAGCTCGACATAAACTAGATTCTCCTGAGCGGTCTCAAGCTGGTCGCTGACTTGGGGGAGCCAGCGCTGGTGGATGTCCTGACTGGCGTATGCAATCTCAGCGGCGTAAGACAACCAACCAACCCCATCACTCGCAGGATTTCTGCACCATATTGATTCAACAGGCCGAGGATCACGACGTGTGCTCTGGAGTCATCGAGAAAGAAGCCCCCGCCGTGCACTACATGCTCAAGAACCTGAAGCTGGGCTCACGCACAGCCGAGACCCTCTGCGCCAGCATCGCCGGGCTCTGCGACTACCCAGCCGTCCAGCCATTCAACCTGACATTTCCATCCCCCAAGCCGGCCACGACCCGGCCGCCGCCAAGCGGGAAATCACCGATCAAAGTCGTCCATTTCAGCGACACACACGTCGACCTCTCCTACGAGACGGGGGCCAATTCCCAGTGCACAAAGCCCATCTGCTGCCGCGCGTACACCGAGAAAGATGCACCGGGCAATACCTCGTCGCCGTGCGGGCCCTGGGGTCACCCCAAGTGCGACCCGCCGCTGCGGCTGCACGAGAGCATGCTGGCGGCTATTGCTGACCTGCACCCGGCCTTCTCGATCTACACGGGGGACGTGGTATCGCACGACGTGTGGCTGGTCACGGAATCCGAGGTGCTACAAGACTTCAACGCTACATACGGAGCCATGGAGAAGAATCTGGGAGTCGTCTACGCGGCAGTGGGCAACCACGACGCCGCACCACTCAACCTCTTCCCCTCGAACAAGCTCCCCAGCACATTCAATCCACAGTGGGCATACGACGCCATCGCCGCGGATTGGAAAACACTAACAGGCCTCCCATCCGTATACACAGCCCGCCAGCACGGCTCCTACTCGGCCATGCACCCCAACAGCAAGCTCCGCATAATCTCCTACAACAGCGTCTTCTACTACAAATACAATTTCCACATGTACACCGAGCCCATGGACCCCGACCCAGACAACCAGCTAGCCTGGCTCATCGACGAACTGCAAGCCGCCGAGTCTGCCGACCAGCGTGTCTGGCTAATCTCACATATCCCGTCAGGCAACTCAGACACGTTCCGCGATCACTCGCACGCGCTCGACCAGGTCGTTCGGCGGTACGAAGCAACGATCGCGGCGCTGTTCTTCGGACATACGCACACGGATCTGTTCCAAGTAGCCTACACCGACTACGCGCACCGGCGCTGGGACACCTCGGCTGCGGTGGGGTATATCGTGCCGTCGATGACGCCGACGTCGGGCCCGGCTTCGTTCCGGGTGTATGAGATCGATCCGGTGACGTTTGGCGTGCTGGACTATACGCAGTACATTGCCAATATCAGTTCTTTTTCTTCCTCTGGTCATGATGATGCTGCTGCTGCTGCTGCTGCTGTGCCGCAGTGGATGCCATACTACGCCGCCAAAGCAGACTACGGGTCCAAACTCTCCCCGCCGATCCATGACCCAGCCGTCGAACTGACCCCTGCATTCTGGCACAATGTCACAGTAGCCATGGAGCGTGACCCGGACGTGTTTCAACAGTTCTGGAGTAGACGCACCCGCGGGTACAATGTAACCACCTGTGCGGGCGACTGTGTTCCCAGGGAGATCTGTGCGCTGCGCGGTGCAGACGCGCAGTATAATTGTGCGGCGCCGACGGGTGGATTCAGCTTCTCGAAGCGGGACCAGCAGAAGAATGGAGAGGCGGGGTTAGTTCCGGGGGTTTCTTCAGAGTGCGATCATGCTGGGATGGCGCCGTTGCTGGGGAAGATGGTGTATCGGGCTCGTCTGGGGGTCATGCATGAATGAGTGGTGAGTAAGTAGAAACAAGGGTATAAGGTTATAGGAGAGTAGAAATGGCAGTTCCTCATGGAGAGGAGAGAGAATGTTGTTGACTTGCACATCAACCCGCTCTGGAGTTATCTGAGTCAATGGATACTTCAGCCAACGCCATAGTAAAACAAACAAAAAGTAACAGGAGACACTCGGCAGATGACTCGGCCCAGACCACAACGGTCAAGTCCAGCAGTGGAGAAATTAATTCAGCGAGAAAGCTACAGGAATAAGCAAGTTACATACACGCTGGTGATAGACGGCTCCTCCATTTACATAGAAACCAGAACAAAGCGAGTACAGGATACCATCCTTCCAGAGTTAACAACCTCTGGTTTAGTATGTCCAAGGTATCTATCTATCCACACAAACATCTAAAATCCACATATCCTTATCCCCATCTATACATCCATACCCATATGTGCCAACCAAGGCAGCAACAATAAAAACCTAGAAAAGAAGACCAGCTTCGTTCGGTGTTTGCTTCTGAAATCATGGACGCAAGCCTCGATCCACCAAGGTCATACACAGTGGCAAAAACGCAGGAACTATAGCAGGAACCGCATGGTTCCTGCGTGAGACAGGCACATCCATCCAGTAGTCTATACCTAGGGTATATACCTATAAGACAAAAAAAAAGGGGGGGGAGAAAATACAGCAAAGAGTCCAGACATAGACAGCCTTGTTTCCACACGTCTCAAGCCCCCCGAGTCTCACGCCCAAAAGACCCAAAAATCGAGTCGCCGGGGCGAATCCGACTGGCCGCTCGAGGATGGCTGTGTTGGGTTGCATGGACCAGGATGTGTGTTTGTTCCTTGCTGGGTAAGGAGACATGCCGGTCTTCCCCTTTTTCTTTTCCAACCGTTCGAACATACCTAAATACCCGAAGGATCCCTAGATGTCTCAGATTATCTACGCCTCTCGACTACAGTCAATGACTCCAAAAAGAATAAAAAGAGCGAATTGGATTTCCGATATTTGCACCAAAAGTGTAAAAATGAGAAAAAGATAAAAATCCTCGATTCCATTCGCTTGGCAATGAGCCACTTCGTCTTCCTCTTTTTTTGGGGTTCTGTTTTCGTTCACTCAAGCATGGTCGTCGTAGAGGTCGTCATGGTTCTCGCCCACGTCTCTGCGCATGAAATGGGGGTTAGGGGCAGGGTTCTCTTCAAGAGAAACTCCCACCCCTGTCCTGCCCCATGGGTTGCCAGCATGCGCCATTTTTATGGGGGAAGGAAGGGAAGACCAAAAGTACTCCCCCTTTTCCCTTTCGTTGCTTGGTTTTCGGATGGGTCCATCTCAGGTAGTATTGGCACAAGGCTCCGCAGAGAACAGAATTCTATCAACATGGGGAAAATGGTAAAAGGTGGCCCACTAGGGGCTCACAATGGTAAAAATGGGGTGAAAGAGTGACAGAAAGGTAAAAAAGGGGCTCAATAGTATCACCATCGAGAAATGGCAAGACAACTGGGAACGAAATGAAGATAAGAATAGTCGAGAAGAAATCAAAGGGGAAAAAAAAAAAGAAAGTCATCAAGACCCCCTTATGCTTGTGCAAGCCTCTCGGTGATAGCCATCGCTCAGCAACGCACACGATCGACGTGGCGTTTACTGAATGGACCACTTGGCACCGTGGATACGGCCGACAGACTCGGAAGCCAAGTCGCCGAAGAGTGCACGCGAGAGATCGATCGAGGAGTCATCACAGCCCATGCACTTGTCCACAACCTTGCCATGGGTGGTCTTGCCGTCGTACTCGATCTTGACCATCTTGCCGCAGTCGCCATCCTTCATGATGCCCACGGGCAGAGCAAGGACCCTCTCATTGCCGCCGTCGTTGGTGAAGCCACACGAGCTGGGGGCGCTAGCCGAGGTAGCAGTGTCGTAGAAAGTAAGCTGGCCGGTGCAGGGAGAGCCCGAGGAGCAGGGACCACTGCTGCTACCACCGCTGCCACCGCTGCCACCGCCAGTGCTGGTCTCAGCCGGGGCGGTCGAGGTCGAAGTGGAAGAAGGCTCGGGAGCGGGGGCAGGAGCGGGCTCAGACGAAGGCTCAGGAGAAGGAGCGGGAGCAGGCTGCTGCGTGGTAGGCTCGGGCGCAGGAGACGAGTCTTCCGAGGACGGAGCCGGAGCGGGAGCCTGGGTCGAAGTGGAAGTGGTGGCGGGCTCGGGCTGCTTCTCCTTCTCAGCGGGCTGGGTGGGAGCAGCAGATGCGGACACCGGGACCAGGGTCGCAGTCGAAGTGACCTGAGTGGGCTGGATGGTGGTGGTGACTTCAACAGTGGTCCAGTCGACCTCGGTGACGGTCTTCCACACGACAGGCCCGCGGCGCTCAAGAGGCTGAGCAAAGCCAGCGATGGCAAAGAAGGCGCCAGCAAGGGCGAAAGTCTTGGAGAGAGGGGCCATTGGGGAAATGGGAAATGAGAAGTCGAGAAACAGAGAAACAGAGGAACGATTGGTTGCGAGGTTGAGATTCAAAGGATTGTTCACTGCACAGCAGGAAGAAATATCAACAAGAACACTCGAAAAGAGCGAGAGTGTTGGATAGAGATGGAAACGATAAAGGAAGGAACCGTGGAGGGAGAAAGAGTGAGAGTTGTGGGAGGAAGAAAGAAGCGAATGGGAGAGAGGCCCCATAAATAAGAACCTCGATGGGCCTCAGGCCCAATGCTCCCCGAGACCCACCGGCAAACCCATGGCTCTCCCTCCAGGCTGTCACTCTCATACACCATTACCATCTGCCATTTCCCATTTCCCATCTACCATCTACCAGTTACCATCAAAACCAGTGGGCTATCCTGCATCTTCTGGCTCTGTGACTGTTGTTCCGAGTAAGTATGTCATAATATCCTGTTTGAGGTCGATAGTATATTGATTCTCTACAGAAAAATGTGCCGCGAAAGCTACAGTGTCACTAAATTCCTGTCGCCATTAGGAGGGTGGCCCTGCGCAGATCACTCCCCTGAACGGATGTGGGGGTTGTGGTGTCGTGAAAAGCACCAGCCCAGTGCGAGCCGGTGACACAACCAAGCGATATCCTTGTGATGACTGTGTTGACAATCGAGCTTGGGTGAAGGTGAGTAACGTCTGGGTTAAAAACACAGCAGCAAATGCTTAAAGGAATATCAGAGTTGCTACATGATCGTCGCGTGTGTAACGGCTTAGACCCGAGCACGCTTCGCGCCTTTGCGGGCTCCTGTGGACTTTGTCACGTGCTACAAGGACCCCCTTATTCTATGTCTGTCAGCTAGTCTACAGAGCGAACTTCTAGTTGAGCTGTATAAATAAACATGCATGAGCCAGTATCTAATCCACGTTAGTCGTCACAGGGTATCGAGTGATGAGACAGCGTAAGTCAAAGATTCACCCCTGCCATGCGTTACGTAACTCAAACCAGGCGAGATCATAAAATGCGTAGACTGCGCCTTCCGAACCCGCCCCCCTCGTCCCACTCTCCTCCTTCTGGCCACCACACTGGTTTTCTCTCTCATCCAACCCTCCACTGATTGTAATATTCTTAAGAAGGGCATGATATAAACCTCATTACTGATATCGTCACATTCTGCGAAGCCCAGAACCCATGGAGATGGAAAGAAAATTCCAGAGTATACATCTGATTGCGTCGGGAGGCATGTCTTCCATCTACCAGGTTGACCCTGGTATTGACTCGACGAGTCCGAATGATTTAGTTTCCATGAGCATAGTCAGATCCCATCCCCTGGGACATGCACCTAATTTCACATGCTGTGCCGCATGGGTATGTATACATCACCGAGATGTCCGTCAACGAGGGTGCCGACTTCAAAATTGAAGATGGGGATCACGGCACAGGACTTCCGGCAGCACCCTCTGGCAGTGGACAGACCTTGCATGTTAGCAAGAGGCAAGGAGCTGAAAGTAAAAGTATTACCATAGTTAGCGGGCTGTATTGTTGCCAACGAAGCGAAGGGCCAAGAAGAATATGCGCAAATGAGAGAGGATTTCACAGCTTTCTTCGAAAACAATCCAATCCACGAGCTGTAGGACACTGTACTGTGTTTGCTGTGTTACTGACAAGGATTTGATAGCCTAAAAGTAGATAATGAGAGTCTGTGGACAGTCTGAAATATGATTGAAGCTGTTGAGGACGGATCTATCCTTATTACACCAGCCAGCTCGCCGCCCTCACATGATGCAAAGAGCAATCCTTAGAGCTCGTCGGCGGTTCTCAACAGTCGCGGTTCGGAATTTCACCAAGCTCTCTATCTGCTAGAAGACGTCGTGGTCCTTGAACCTGCGAATCTTGCAGTGAAAGCACTTCCTAGCTCTTCTACGTTCTCTCCAAAGGCCGATTCTCCCACTCCACTGAAGATCGCTCTACATTGAGATGGAGGAGCCATGGTTGATGCATAATACCAATTTACTCCAAAGAAACGAAGGGCTTTGACCTTTAACCCGCTGCGTGGATTGTTACTTTGGGTTGTTCCGAGGTGCATATTATGTGGTTGTAAACAGAAAAGAGTATAGCACTTGGGTACGGGGCAAAAGTAATATGAAATGAAAATACCTGAATCCACAAGATCTACTCTAAAGTGTATTCAACTTTTTAACATTGACACTTCACAGAGAACCCAAAAATGAGGCTGTTTCATCTCCAGGAAACCGACGGCTTACCGAGGTCTCTTCGGGTGTTTCATCGAACCCCACTTTGTCTCTCTCTCTTGTGCAAAAGAAATAAGCTAGTATAGTTCAGTTTATAGAACATATTGTATCGTCAAAATATAGATAGCCATATAAACTCAATTTTTACTAAACCTAGTATATTGTTGCCTTTCAACATGGATAATTTACTAGAAAAGACTTCCCCAAAACTAAACCCTAACTGGCAGTATAGTCCCCAGCCGCAGTCAGACTTGGAATCCGCGCTTTCCCAGTGACATAGTCCCCGCCATTGGGCTTGGAAACGCACAGGGTATGTTCGGTCTCCGCAGGCGACCCGGGGTCGACGTGGCCGCAGCCAGGCCTGAGCGCGAAACTCACGCTCAACGAAGCCGGGGCCCCAACAACTTCAAAAAGATCCTGGCAACCGAATGATAATTCTTGATTCTGCCATCCCGAATCGCGTCAACCATATCCTGCCTCATGGTGAAGTTGATGACAAAAGGACGTGGGCTCATCCGCTCATGGATCGTACAGTCCTCCCGCCTATCCCCCAAGATCCAAGATCCACGCGCACTCCGGGCCCTGTGACGGTAAACCAGAGCCGTCGGTTTGATTTGGCTGAAAGGCTGAATCAAGGTCACTGGGAATATTTTGGCATCCATTCTATATAGAAATTCAAGGTCAATCCGTTGCTAAACTAGCTGGGGCTTTGTTTCTTGTATTTTGGTCTTATAGATACTATGGTTTATAACAATAGAGCTAAGAGGAAGTGGCAGCCATAGTAGTCCAGATCTGGAGGGGTACAGGTTCGCAGCCAGCCACCGCAAGGCTAACGCGTGTAGATGCAAGATTATCCCCACCTCCATGGAAGATCTTCTAGTCTTGAGGGCAAAATCATGTACCCTCTCTTCATTGGGAATTTGCTAGCACTAGTACGTGGGGATCTTGTTGTGATAGATTGTAAGTTCACCTTTTAGTCTCGAGAGGGAAAAGAAAATGCCTCGTTTACTTTGAGTGGTTTTATTCACAAGCTATGCTCGAAGTATATCGAATCAACCCCGGGAGATACCTACGTATAGAGGAATTAGGACTACAACCGGATGGTATCGAGGTAACATCAGACATGATTGGACTAGCTCGGCAGAGAAAATACAAATGATCTGAAACGCCCAAACACAAACAAATCCAAAGGCAAATCCATCAATCTCATAATATAGATACACATGCAACCCTCGAAACAGCACGAAGAATCAGCAGGGGACATCAAAAGGGAAAAAAAAGACTTCATCCAAAAAGCTTTTTAGCCCTGGCACATGAGGCAGGCTTCCTTGTTCTCGATGCTGCACTGGAGGACCTGCTGCGAGAATATGTCACCCTGGACATCCTCACCGTCGCCAGCAGCGTCTTCTTGCTGGGTACCGTTGGCCTCAGTTGGGACACCATTCTCGCGGGCAGAGGCGCCCACGGGGTCAGAAACCAGGGTGCGCGGGCTCTCCTGGCTGGGAGCATTGACAGCGGCAGAGGCAGCCTCGGCACCGTCGGAGCGGGGCACGGCCGAGTAGGTCGAAGAGGCGGCGCCGACGGCACGCTTCTTGTACGAGTTGTTGGCGCGGGCAACGTTGGTGTCCTCAACCTTGAGCTGCTCCTGGTCGACAGTGAACTGGATGGGCGCCGAGGCGGCCATCGTGCGCAGGTAGTACATGCCGGTCTTCAGACCCATCTTCCAGCCCGCAAAGTGCATGCTGGTGATCTTGCCCATTGTCGGCTCCTTCAGGTGGATGTTAAGCGACTGCGACTGGTCGATGAAGGCACCACGGTCGGCAGCCATCTGCAGAATATTGCGCTGAGAGATCTCCCACACGGTCTTGTACAGCGCCTTGATGTCGGCGGGGATGTTGGGGACGTTCTGTACCGAGCCACCGTCGGCGATGATACGGTTCTTCATGTTGTCCGACCACAGGCCGAGATCAACGAGATCCTTCAGCAGCCAGGGGTTGACCACCTGGAATTCGCCAGCCAGGACACGGCGAGAGTAGATGTTCGAGGTGTACGGCTCGAAGCACTCGTTAAAGCCCAGGATCTGGCTGGTACTTGCGGTCGGCATGGGAGCGACCAACAGACTGTTGCGAACACCGGTCTCGGCAATCTTAGCCTTGAGAGCAGCCCAGTCCCAGAGATCGGTCGGGGTCCGGTCCCACATGTCGAACTGCAGAGTGCCCTGCGAGACAGGCGAGCCCTCGTACGTCTCGTAAGGGCCAAACTGCTTGGCCAGCTCCGACGAAGCGGTCAAGGCACCGTGGTAGATGGTCTCGAAGATCTGGACGTTCAGCTGGCGCGCCTCGGGCGAGTCGAACGGCAGACGTAGGGCCAGGAAGGCATCAGCGAGACCGTTGACACCGAGAGCAATGGGGCGGTGACGGAAGTTGCTCTTCTTCGCCTCCGGTACAGGGTAGTAGTTGATGTCGATGATCTTGTTCAGGTTGCGCACCAGGACTTGCACGACCTCGTGGAGCTTGCCGAAGTCGTACTCGCCGCGAGCAGCATCCACAAACGTAGGCAGAGCGAGAGAAGCCAAGTTGCACACAGCCACCTCGTCAGGTGCACTGTACTCGATGATCTCGGTACACAGGTTGGAGCTGCGGATGGTGCCCAGGTTTTTCTGGTTGCTCTTCTTGTTGCACGCATCCTTGTACAGCATGAAGGGGTTGCCAGTCTCGGTCTGAGCCTCGAGGATAGCATACCAGAGCTTCTGGGCCTTGATGGTGCGACGACCGCGGCCTTCCTTCTCATACCTATCACCACATCAGTATTTCGCCCAACGATTCTTATCAAAAGATACTCACTTCTCGTAGAGGGCGTCAAACTCGTCTCCGTAGACGTCCGCCAGACCAGGGGCTTCGTTCGGGCAGAACAGAGTCCAGTCGCCGTTAGACTCGACCCGCTTCATGAAAAGATCAGGAGTCCACAAGGCGTAGAAGAGATCACGAGCACGGACCTCCTCCTTGCCGTGGTTCTTGCGGAGATCCAGGAACTCGAAAACATCCGAGTGCCAGGGCTCCAGGTAGATGGCAAAGGCACCAGGACGCTTGTTACCACCCTGGTCAACGTAGCGAGCGGTGTTGTTGTACACCCGCAACATAGGGACAATGCCGTTGGAAGAGCCGTTGGTTCCGCCAATGTAAGAGCCGGTAGACCGGATACGGTGGATGTTCAACCCGATACCACCAGCAGTCTTCGAGATCATCGCACAGGTCTTGAGAGTGTCATAGATACCCTCAATGCTGTCCTCCTTCATGTCCACCAGGAAGCAAGAAGCCAGCTGGGGCTGCGGGGTACCGGCATTGAACAGGGTGGGGGAAGCGTGCGTGAAGTATTTCTGAGACATCAAGTGGTAGGTCTCAATGGCCTTCTCAATATCTTCGCCGTGGATTCCCACCGACACTCGCATCAGCAGGTGCTGAGGACGCTCGGCAACCTTGTCGTTGATCCGTAGGAGGTATGAACGCTCCAGGGTCTTGAACCCGAAGAAGTTGTAATTAAAGTCGCGGTCGTAGACGATGGCAGAGTTGAGCTCATCGGCGTGCTTCATGACAATTTCATAGATTTCCTTCGAGATCATGGGTGCTGCCTTATTGTTTTTCGGGTTGACATAGTGGTAGAGGTCCGAGATAACCATGGAGAACTGCTTTTTTGTTTGCTTGTGGAGGTTCGAAACGGCGATACGAGCAGCCAGGATGGCATAGTCGGGATGTGTCACGGTCATGTATGCCGCAGTCTCGGCAGCCTAAAAGTTGGAGATCAGCGTGGTTCAATTGTTTGAAAACCAACAGGACACTCATACCAAGTTGTCCAGCTCGATGGTACCGACACCCTGGTAGACACCAGAGATGACCTTCTGCGTAATGGCCGCAGCATCAACGTGCTCCGGGTCGAGGCCATAACAGAGCCTCGAGACCCGTGCAGTGATCTTGTCGAACTGGACGCGTTCTTTACGTCCGTCTGTGGTTGCAATCTGGATTAGCACTCGATCTGACGTGGGTGGCAAGGTGGACAGTAGTAGAAGAGCACGGCAGTACAGCTCGCCCATAGCATCAGGCAAGATAGATAGCCAAGGATTAGTTGGTACTATAGAGCTTACCTCTCTTGTAAACGAACATGATGGATGGTGTAGAAAGGCAAGAAAATGATATTAAAACGAGATGGGGTATAGAGATCTGATGCAGAAGACAATGGGTTGGATATCTGAAAGAGATGTGAAGAGGGAGTGGAAGGGGAAGGAGTTTGGAGGGGTGGGAAAAAGAAGTGAGCGGGAGGGGTGAGGATATTTGATGTCGCCGGGGCAGACGCGTTTTTGCTCGCGAATTTTCGTGTTTGGCCTGAGTCGGCTCCCTTTGCTTACCAAGCTGGGCCAAAGTGCGTGTCTGGTCACGTGAATACGCGACGGCGAGACAGGCGTGGCCGAGTCCTGCCCACGCGGCTAACCACATTCCGGGCTCAGATGATACTCAATGGAGTGGTCCTTGCTGGACTTTTTCATGGGCCCATTATCTTCCATTGGGTGATCTGCTTAGAGCTGGAGACTTGACTTCGTCCCTTACGGTTGCACACTGCAAATGATACGTCTTCATACATCTCTCGATCAAGGGGGCAAGGGATACAACTCGCACAACTCAAAGCAGTTTGTACGTTGCCCAAATGGACAGGCAGAGTGGGTCTCAATATCTCAATACAATGACACGGCCAACGGTGCATTCAATTTGCTCGAATCAATCCCTTCCAAGAAGGATGCGATTAGATCAGAACAGACTGGGCACCATAAATTCAAGCCAACTAGCTATAGACACATTCGAACTCGCTTCACCAACCTATTGACTGAGTGAAAATTCTCACAGCACAGCGGCAGCACCGATAAACACGACAGCAGCGAAAGTGGTCGCAGAGAACTGTCGGTCAGACACGGCGGCACCGCTGCTTGACGAAGGAGAAGCCGCACCAGAGGGAGCACTACCAGACGCAGAGCCAGAGCCACCACTGGTGTTCGAGCCGCCGCTCGAAGAGCCAGAGGTGGGAGAAGACTCGCCAGCCGAAGCCGAGGTAACGAAGCTGGTGGACGAGCCGCTGGCGCTGGCGGAGGTGCCAGAAGTGGAGCTCGTGGTAGACGAGGACTCTGTAGGTGAAAAGAAAAGTGTGAGCTAGATGAGAAATGACGCAAAAACGAAGACTGTTCGTAAATCCTTACCAACTTTGTGGCCGGCGTCCTTGCAAGTGTTGGCGAAGAACTTCAGGGCCGCATCCGACTTGTCCCCGCACTCCTTCTCGATGGCAGACTGAATCTTATGCGCGTCCGAGCCGCAAATATCCGACAGCTTGGCTGGGTTGGGCGTGTTGCTGGGAGACGGTCAGCTTTCGCGCGGGACATTGGACATTTCCACGGCTGGGGCACTTACCCAATCACCGACAGAAGACAGGCCGGGGTCTGGCCGGCGGAAACAATGTTGGTGAGGGCCACAAAGGCCAGGGCGACAGCAGACTTCTTGAAGAACATGGCGTAGGAAATTGACTCGACGGAGGTGGGTTGAAACGGGACTTTGATCCGGGGCGTTGGTTCAACAAAGACAGAATCGCACTGCGACTCTATGTAAAAACAATTATGATATGCTGAAAGAGTGACTGATGCAAGTAGAGAGCGTAAGGCGAGTTCAAACAAACTCGCAAGCAACGGGAGATGGCAAGGGAAATCGCGAAGCAAAAGGGCGGGAGAGAAGGGAAATTCGGGCGGACCCCTATCAGTGTTTCGCCTCGCCCAATCGGGGGGTTCCGATGGGGCACCCCCAGGCTGTATGCAGCGTGTACAGTAACATACACAACCCTAGAAGAAGGTAGTTTCCCATATATTTACGAGCCCAAAATACTTACGGTTGATGTAATTATTCATACCCAATATTACACACCCGCCTTGGTCGCACCGGCACCCAAACAAGACTAGCGTCAGGGACCCAACCCCAGACGGCTGACTGAAGCCTGGAGATGACAATATCATCCATCGTGATATATTGCTCTCTTGACGGCCAATGATGCCCTGGATGTCTTGGAGTCGGAAAATCCTTGAATTTCTTATGCAAGGTAACTGAAACAAGCATATCATGTGGTTATTGTCTCAGAACCCCGATCACAGATCAAGATCTATGAACTCATAATTAACGGAGTATTTCTGAGCCCAGTGAATTCATAGCGAGACAGGGAAGTATCCATGGATCTTTGTGGAAGAGAGCAGGGACAACACTCAAGCTGTCTTGTATGTCAAGTCAAGCACAGATCTAAATACTGGGAGAAAAGAAAAGAAGCATTCCATCTTTCCTCCACGATCTATAACCAGCGCCAGCACGATGCGATTCAATCCATCTCAGATCCCTGACCCTAGGACCGGTCCCAGGCAGGATCATAGTTGCTATTCACAATCTCCTGCACGTCCAACCTGAAATCCACAATCTCCTTCCCATTCACCAGATCATTCTCCCTCGCCCGCTTATCAGCCTCGGCCTCATCCTTGGCAATGCCCGCCTGGACATGCCGCCGAATCAGACGCTGCCTGGCGACCTCAAAATCAACATCCACAAACCAAAGCTCATTCATCATCAACGCAGCCTGGTTCCACGGCTCCTTATTGAGACTGAGATAGTTGCCCTCGAAGAAAATCACCCGGCACGACGCCGGGATGGCGATGTCGTCGTCGACGGGGTCCTTGATTGCATGGTCGAAGCTCGGCGCATACACATCCGCCGACTGCGGCGTTAGCGGTTTGCGCAGCGCCTGGACCAGCTGCAGGAACTTGTGTCCGTCGAAGGTGAAGGCGGCACCGCGGCGCGCGGCCGCGTACTCTGGGTCTGGCATTGCGGCCAGCTGCGCCCGCGTCAGATGGTACCCGTCCATTGGGATGGCCGTGGCGATGGGCGGTGACCCCGGGGTGGCGGTTGCGTAGATCTGGTTGATGCGTTTGGCCATCGTCGTGGCCAGCTCGCTCTTGCCGGACCCGGGGATGCCGCTGACGGCTATCATTAACCGGGTGCCGGTTGGCGTGGACCCGAATTTTTCTGTAGCAGATTCAACTCTCATATTAGTTTCTTGGTTCTTTTTATGTTATTTTCCCTCCCTTTTTTGTCCAGTGGATCCAAGATCTGCCGATATGCCCGCTTTGGGGGGAATATTGCATGCGCAGGTGCGGAGCAGATCCTTGGTTTTGTCTGCAACATGAGTCAACTTACCCCAGGTTTGGTTGACTAGTCGCTCGACTTGTTGATCCATGGCGAATCAGGGATTCGATCTGCGGGACTTGCTGCGGCAATCGTGCCAATTCGGTCTATGAGGTAAGTAGTAGAAGTCCAATTCTATAATGTGTTTGTTGGGCAGAGAAGTAGTCGGCGAGTGCCGTCGATAACAATGGCGTTGAGCTTGGCAGCGATATACTCCGAGGGTAGTCGAGGCGACTCGGAGTAATTCTGAGAATTGCGGACAGGGGTATAAACCCTCGATTGCGATTTTCTGGACCGTTATGGCGATTGTTTTCTCTTGCAAAAGGCTACCAATTCACAGAGAATGGCGGGGCTTATCTGCGGGACTGCTGTGCTCCGAAGGCTTTCGGGGCATACGTCACAACCCAGATGGGCTCGATATCGGGCGATAATTGATTTCATTATTTCATTCCCTTTTTCAATGTTTCTATTTATATTCATGGCAATTCTCGGTTTAGGATTACGCTATCTAGAAATTGCACTTCTAGATCATGTTCAGGGGTGATAGCATTATTCGGTACTTCGCAGCGTCCACTTGCATCATCAAATGCTTACGAACCCCCGGTATACATCCATGATAGCGGGAAGATATGAATACAAGAATGTCAAGTCCCTGCCATTCAATAAAATCAAGCTCTGTCCTGCAACCAACATAAAAAACCATACTAAAACCAACAGCGCTAATCAGCCTGCCCAAACGCCTCATGTCCCAATCCAACCTGTCCAAAAAATGATACCCCGGTAAGTAAATCACAGGAGAAGAAAACAAAGAAAAACGCCTTTGCCGTGACAAATGTTCATGCCAGTTGATATGAAGAGGTGTGGCTCAAATGCCGAGTCGGCTAGCTCCATCAGTGCCCTCGTTTTCGTTGGCATCAGCGCCGGCGCTGAGGCCTCGGGTTATGGTGCGAGACAGTCCAGCTGCGGCCCACCAGTCATCGGGAATATCCTCGCGCCGCGCCAGTCGATCCAGGATGGCCTGCATCTGCTGGAGGTCCGGGTCGCTGGAAGAATCCGAGAGAGAAAAAGAAATCGTGGGGATGGGAGGGTGGCTGCTCATAGTCGAGTGGGGACCGGGGGAGCGACGATGCGAAGGCGGCATGCCCGTTGGGCCGAGCATGCGGTGGTAATTCACGGGCGCGTCCTCATCGTCCGAAGACGAAAAGTCGCAGGGGTGCAGGTGGTCAGGATATGGATCAAGTGCCATGCTGATAGGGCGAGAAGATCCCAAGGACGACGGCAGGGTCTGCGACGAGTTGGTGGAGTTGCCAGTCCGGGAGGTATCGGTCGCAGACGCCGTGTTGGAGTTGAAGGACGTGTCCGTCGACGGAAGGGTAGCATCGGGCGTGATGGTCGAAAGCAGGGTTTCCCAGGCATCAGTCTCGCGCTCGCCGTCCGGGCTCAGACTCCGCTGGCGATCTCCCAGTCCATCGACGGCAGGTTCGCGGTTCGGTCGGCTCGGCGTGTGACCGGTTCGATAGTCGCGCAGGAGTACCGAAGGAATGTAAGAGGCGGGCTCATGGTTACGGCTATCAGTACGACGCAGAGGCGGAAGGCGAACGCCGTCCGAGGGTGGTTGTGATGAGAGGGCGGAGTGGTAAACGAGTGCTGGGGCAAAGTTCGGCGTGAGAGAAGGGCTCGAATAGCGAACGCTAGGCCGGGACTGGGGGTCAGGGCGACCGAGCAGGTCCGTCAAAGCTTGATCCCGAGAACTCCTGCTGCGGCGACTAGAATGGTCCCTACGACGCTGCGCATTCGGACGCGTAGAGCTCCTGTTGAGCGCTTCGCGCCGACTCGTATCCAGATCCAGCCCATCCTCGCTGATGCCCAAATTCAAAACGGGCGATCGCACTCCCATGTGAGGGTCACTCATCCCCCGCTGGATCTCATCGAGGATGTGAGAATGGAAGGAGGACAGTACACCTGCTCCGCGCGCGCGAGAGCCACTGTGGCGTGACGAGCGCCGAATCGTGGGCTGGCGCCGGATGGACGAGCGCGCTGCGGCAGATGGGTCCTTTTCCAGAACAGACTTGAACATATCCGCCTCTGAAGGCTCACGCCACATTCTGAGTTGAAAGTCAGTCATTACGATGTTCGCGCGACAAGGTGGCGCATGCGACAGTCCCAAGCGCCAACACGGAAACGGAATCACTTACGGGATACCCATTTTTTTAGCACGAAAGAAGGAAATGCACCGGCAAGATGAAAAAGAGAGATGGTTGGCCCGAAAGCAATGAAAACAGAAACCGAACCCAACGTGACCTGGAGACAGTGGAGATGGGGTCTGACCGATCGGGGGAGATTGGGTTTTTCTGAGGCCTCAGGCTGTGGCTGGGAGGCAATGGTCACGTGGCTTCACATGCGGATAACTCCGAGCTCCAACAAGTCTTGCATTGATACTTGGAGACCTAGTCTTTCCTTTTCTTCGGGAGCACTCGCCTCTTCGATCATGAAGTTTGGTCTGTCACGTCTACAGCACACTCGGAGGGATGATTGAGCTTGGATTGACCCGTGTCTCGCGTCTCCTCCAGCAGACCCCGCTGTCGTGGAAGGCCATCCATATTGCCGGCACCAATGGTAAAGGCTCGATCAGCGCCTATCTGTCTCATTTACTGGCTGCTGGTGGAGTTCGCTGTGGCCGTTTTACGTCTCCGCATCTAATTGATCGGTGGGATTGCATTACAATTGGCGGAAGTGTGGTTCAGGAATCGCTCTTCCGACAAATCGAAGACCAAGTGAAGCTACGAGACCGAACGTTGGGCATTGGGGCTTCCGAGTTCGAAGTATTGACTGCAACCGCGTTCGAGATATTCAACCATGAACGAATCGAGGTCGGAGTGGTTGAAGTGGGCATGGGCGGCCGTCTGGACGCTACAAATATTCTGAACAATGTTCTCGTGTCAGTCATCGCCAAGATTGGGATGGATCATCAAGCGTTTCTTGGGTCTACCATCCAGGAGATCGCTGGCGAGAAGGCGGGGATCTTAAAGCCGGGAGTTCCCTGCGTCGTGGATGGCACCAACACTCCGGCGGTAATCGAGACGTTGACGAGTCGTATCCAAGAGCTCGGTATTGCCGCCAGTTTTGTCTCCCCGGAAAATGCTGATGATCAACTTCCACCGCTCTCACGGGCGTTCCACACGCTTGACCTTGAACCCCACCAGCAGGAGAATTTGTGTTGCGCAGTGTCAGCGCTCCGCTTGGCGTTGTCTAAGTTACGTCCCGAGAAGGATGTGTTCTCTCTGCTTCCTCATATTGCCGATGTTACGTGGCCGGGCCGTCTACATAATATCAATATTCAGCCACTGGTTGATCGCGCGGAGCCTGTCCTGCTTGATGGTGCGCACAATGTACAGTCGGCCGAAGTGCTTGGCAGGTATGTTGACCACAGGCTGCGCCCACGGGGTGGTCCTGTGACTTGGGTTCTGGCCGCATCAAGCGGCAAAGATCTTGCTGGGGTCTTCGCATCCATCATTCGGCCTGGTGATAATGTCGCGACGGCAGAGTTTGGGCCTGTGGACGGGATGCCCTGGGTCAAACCAACCAATGCCGCCGAGCTCGCTTCGTCGGTCCGATCGATTCAGGGAATCGGCCAGGTGGAGAGCTTCGAGGGCGATCTAATTCCTGCGATCAACTGGGCCAGCCAAACGGCCCGAGGCAAGTCTCTGGTCATAGCTGGCAGCCTATACCTGGTTTCAGATGTTCTCCGTCTGCTTCGCAATGTACAGCAATAACACCCCTGTATATAATATCTCCATTTTTGGCTATCTTCTTGTCCTGGCGAGGGTGTGTTATGTATAATGGGGCTTTCATGGATGTATACTTAGGGTAAGAAAGAGATCATTCACTCGGGAATAAGTGTATATAAATGCGATTGGAGCAAGATACCTTTTCTGAGTTAATTCATGGATTTTTTTTGGGGCACCTAGCGTAAAATGTTCCTTGCCGTAGAGAGAAGGATTGCAAGTAGGCCGGAATTTGGGATGGATCCATGGATATTTATATATTGAAAATATTTCCCTATTAAAAATGGTGTGCCAACGCAGTAAAACGACAATGAGTGATAAAATAGGTGATTAGAATAGTTCTAAGGTTCAGTAATTTCCAAGGTGACCTACTATATCTACATCATCTATAGTTGCTTTTGAGATACCATTGATCTTGAATCATTCTATGGACTTCCCATTCTCCCGTAAGGTATTATTGTAATCTGCAACATGAAACACTACTTTGAACTTACTCTTATCGTGGCACTAGTGGCCAAGTGGTAAGGCGTCGCACTCGTAATGCGAAGACCGCAGGTTCGAATCCTGCCTGGTGCAAACTACTTAGAGTCAATTCTTGATTATTTTTGTGGTTATCTTCTGGATATCGATACTGCTCAATTCTAGAAAAGAATTTTTTTTTTCTTGAATATTAAGGAAGATTCTCTACCTACCAATACATCTTATACTGATTATGTTAAACACAGCTAAAAACAATAAATATCTATCCTCAAAGCCAGGACTTTACCCCGTAAACTCGATAAATCACATGGTTTAACCGTGTGATCCAAAAAATGCAAAATAACCGTTTTCTTTCTTTCTTTTTTTTTTGCTCTGGTTTCCCCTCGTGCTCTCCCCCCTGTTTATGCGTGTCTTCGTCTGATGGTCTCAGAGATTTTACCTCCATATACCTCGAATGCGCCCTGGCTCCTAGCAGACACCGCTCTCCAGGGTGTGAGCCAATGTCCCTCTAATGTCCGCTTGGTGAGGCTTCCAACACTGATACGAGAACCATCCCCACCTTTCGTTTGTGATCTGATTGATTCAGACGAATTAACAATCCTAATATGCTAGAACCAGCGGACATGAACGCAGAGACTGTTTCCCTCGGCTCCTGCCCTCTTCCTTAGCTTCCACCCCACACCCTCCCCCTCTTGCTCTACCTGAAACCGCATTCCCGAGACCGCCGATTCGATCCAACTCGCCCTGGGGATTGAACTGGCCCCGCCCTCCCCCCCCTCCCTTGTCGGCAATGGTGTCCTGGTTCAATGATGGCTCGGAAGGGCACCCTCGCCCTCTCACTCCCTCCCGGGCCCCCGGCTCGCCGATGAAACCGCGACTGAGCCGAGTCGGAACGAGTCCGTCGAAGCGGGATGAGAAACCCAAGGACGACAAAGTGTTGAAGTCATCAGCCAAGGATGTCGCAGAGCTCAAGGACTACGTATGGCAATTGCGACAGGTTGCGTTCTTTGTGAGGGTGCTGACTTGGGGATTCTTCGACAGCAATTGGGCGATTGTTTGGGGAAAGGCGCATTCGGGTCGGTCTACCGGGCGCTGAATTGGAACACTGGGGAGACTGTTGCTGTCAAGCAAATTAGGCTGGTGGACCTCCCCAAGAGCGAATTGCGCGTGATTATGGTATGGCCCGGAATGCTCGTGGCGATTGGCATCGACTAATACGAGGCGCGACAGCTGGAAATCGACCTCCTGAAAAACCTGGATGTGAGACAATCTGTCGGATCCACGAGAGGGCTTATGCTGATTTACTATCGCAGCATGCCAACATTGTCAAGTACCATGGGTTTGTGAAGTCTGTCGAAACTTTAAACATCATCCTGGAGTATGCACTTGGAGCACTATAAACAACGAACCAGAAACTAATATCATCAGGTATTGTGAGAATGGCTCGTTGCACTCCATCGCAAAGAATTTTGGCCGTTTCCCGGAGAACCTGGTGGGCGTTTATATGTCCCAGGTTCTTCATGGCCTTCTGTATCTTCATGAACAGGGTGTCATCCACCGGGATATCAAAGGAGCCAATATCCTGACCACAAAAGAAGGCCTCGTGAAGCTGGCAGACTTTGGCGTGGCGAGTCGCACGACGGGCTTGAGTGAATCAAGCGTGGTTGGTACGCCGTACTGGATGGCTCCCGAGGTCATTGAGCTATCAGGAGCAACTACAGCCTCGGACATCTGGAGTTTGGGATGCACTGTCATTGAACTTCTCGAAGGGAAACCTCCTTACCACAATTTGCAGCCCATGCCAGCGCTTTTCCGCATTGTCAACGACGATCATCCTCCGCTTCCCCAGGGAGCCTCGCCGGTATGCCCGATCTCGCAACGAAATATACCCCCAAAGCTGACATCGTCCAGGCCGTAAAAGATTTTCTTATGCAATGCTTTCAAAAAGACCCCAACCTACGTGTTTCAGCCAGGAAATTGCTCAAACACCCGTGGATTGTCAATGCACGCCGGTCTGATTCCGTAGTGCCCAAAAAGTCAACGGAATATGAAGAAGCAGTCAAAAGTGTTCAGGAATGGAACGAGGCCTTGCGGTCGCCTGATGCAGGGACTTCTCGCAAGACACACAGACTTGATCATCATAATGCTGGGCCTCCACGGAATACCACTTTGGTCGACACCTTGTCCTCGCCGACACCCCCCAAACCTACAGACCGGTTTCGATCCCCCGTGTCTGCCGAGGACGACAACTGGGACGATGATTTCGCTACTGCTATATCTCCCAGCGCTTTACAATTGCCTCACCTTCGGCCCCATGATAACTTTGGGGGCATGCTTTCCTCCGAAAGGCTCAAGGCTTTTGCCTCGCTTGATGGGACTATATTAAAGTCCGACGACAGTTTCGATGATTTCGACGAGGTCTCTAAAGACTCTATACAACCACCGGAAAACGACCCTCTCCAGACAATTCGGCCACTTCCAATCAAACCATCTACAGCCGAACCTTCAAAATCCCAAAGCCCTTCGCGTCGTCAATCCAGCAAAGCCTCTTCATCTACATTGCAGAATGTCCCGATTCTCACACAGAATCCTGCCCCACGTATGAGACGTGCTCGCCCTGCTGCCCTCTACAAGGAGAACTCTGTGGAAGATTATACGGACCTCATCATGGCAAATGAAGATGTGCTAGATCGGAAGTTGGGGGCTTTCCAGGTAAGGAAAAAGCAAAAACGAGCTCAGAACCTGTCCATATTCCTAACTTCGTCTAGGAATCTGACGAGGATGCTGTCTCTCCTACCCATGACAAGGGGGGATATAATGCATCGGATGATGTCCATTTCGGCCATCATCCACAGCTTCGCAAACAAATCTCTGTCAAGCGGGACCGCTCTACCATAGAGATACAAAAGTTTGCCGAGAACGAGAACGATGAGGATTTCTCCGACATCCTTGGGGCCGACCAGGTTGCTTTAGATGAACCAGAAAGCGACGATGGTTCAGATCGAAGCACTCTCATGCTGAACTCGAAGCTCTCAAATAATTCCTGGCTGGGAGACCAAGACGATGACGACGACCCGTTCGCGCAACTGGAAGAAGGCTTTGATGAGATGGATCTGGAAGCTAACATTGCTCGCGACAAATATGCACGCCTGCGAAATCAAGTAGAGGGTCTCGTCGGCTCCCTGAAAACTTCACAGGACGAAGAAGTCCTTGCAGATATCTCCGAGCAGCTGCTGATCATTTTCTGCGATCTCCCCGAGACAAAGAACATCATCATTAGCGCTCATGGAATGCTGCCTATATTGGAGATTCTTGATACTTCTCGACGGCGCGATATCACTTTTTGTTTGTTGCGAGTCGTCAACGCCATCATCTACGACGACTACGAGATCCAAGAAAACCTCTGCTTCGTTGGTGGAATTCCCATTGTCAACGAGTTCGCGTCAAAGAAATACCCTCGCGAGATTCGATTAGAAGCCGCAGCCTTTGTGCAGCAGATGTATCAGACCTCAACGTTGACTCTACAAATGTTCGTCAGTGCCGGCGGTCTGAATGTCTTGGTGGAGTTTTTAGAAGATGATTACGAGGATGAACGCGACTTGGTCTTGATCGGCGTGAACGGTATCTGGAGCGTTTTTGAATTGCAGGTTAGTATATCTCATGCCCTAGACACCTGGTGATTTCAGACTGATCGTCATACTATAGGGCTCAACTCCCAAGAATGACTTCTGCAGAATTCTGTCTCGCAACTCCGTCCTCGACCCTTTGTCTCTGGTTCTGGGGCGTGTTCTGGAAGAGGAAGGGGAACTGGCTGAGGTTATCGAAGGCCGTATTGCCAACATCTTCTACATTTTCTCGCAAGCCGAGAACCATGTCAAGGAGATGGTGGCCGAGCGAACGGTTTTACACAGTAAGGAAATCTTCGTTGCAAGTCACTGGGCGTTACTGACAATCAATCCTAGGAGTCTTGAAGGAACTCCGGCGTATGAGCCCGGCGCATCAAATTACAATGCTGAAATTCATCAAGAATCTGTCAATGCTCTCAACCACTTTGGACTCGCTTCAGAATTCCAATGCAATCGATGTGCTGACAGACCTGCTCCGCTTGACGATGAAACGAACGCACTTCCGCGAGGTTTCGAACCAAATCTTGAACACCATTTACAACATGTGTCGTCTGAACAAGTCTCGACAGGAAGACGCCGCCTTAAATGGCATCGTCCCATTACTGCAGAAAATCGTCAAAACGGAACGACCATTGAAAGAATTCGCTCTCCCAATTCTTTGCGACATGGCACAGTCCGGAAAGGTTGGCCGGCGGGAGCTGTGGCGCAACAAGGGTCTGGCATTTTACATCTCTCTGCTCGCAGATCCATACTGGCAGGTCACTGCTCTGGATGCTATTTTCACATGGTATGTCCCTTACATTAACAATTGCAAATATCCAGGCCCCGCGGCTGATTGTCCAATAGGCTCCAGGAAGAGACAGCTAAGGTGGAAGAGCATCTCTTGGACAATCGATATGACAAGACAACGTTCACTGATGCCATTGTGCGGTGTCTGACTCTGTCTAAAGCTAATGCATTCGAAAATCTCTTGGAGCCCCTACAAAAACTCCTCCGGCTGAGCCCACCCGTTGCGTCCACTCTGGCTCGCCCGGATCTTTTCACGAGACTTGGACAAAAAATGCACCACAACAAAGCTGCAGTCAGACTAAACCTCCTACGTATCATATCCAGCATATGCGATTCCAGTGAACAGCAAGGAGGGCTACTCGCAACCTACGGCATCCTGGATGCAATTCGAGAGCTGGAGAACGACCCCGCCATTCTCGTCCGAGATATGGCTGGGAAGTTGGTCCAGTCCAGTGAACGAAGTGAAGCCTTTGGTACGGGTAAGCGCAGACCCACGACCCGAAGGCAAAGCACGTCCACCACTCCCCCGAATCATTATTCGGGTTCGTCTACACCATCAACTCCCCAAACAAACCGCACTAGCCAATCAAGAGGATATTTCGAGGGACGAGAAACACCACGACATCCCCGAAACGCTCTCAGCGGATCTTCTCTGGCTTTGCGACCTGGCAGCCGCGATGGCAATGCTTCTGCGCTCGGCTCGGCTGTAAATGGCAACGCCGCTCCACCACGAAATCGGATGTCGCGAGGTCTGTCAAATCGACTTTCTCAGGTAGAGCTGCTACATGAAGAGGAAACCAAGGCTCCCAGCTCGCTGAGTCGCCGACCTTCGGTCATTCCTCGACGCCGACGCCCTACGATAGCAGATTCGGAATGGACATGACACGGCGCATGTGATCTCATGGCGGAGGGTTTTTTTTCACTCTAATGTAATCGTTGGCTTCTTTTATCCACCTCAGCTGGCCCATTTGCAGGACAAGGCTTCAGATGAAGGTCGGATTGAAGAATAGTCTTTTCTCGGATGAGCACTGGCTGCTGCATCTCATCCTTTTGGTAGACTCGCCTACCTCTTTTTTTGTTCTCATATCTGCATTACAATGAGCATGAAGGCTATAAAGATTATTACAGTGCAACTAGCTGTATTTTAATTACTGATCTATGGCTGTTCCTGTCGACAATAAACCCCCGAAGACTCGGTAGTATAGAATCACGTGCCCGCGCGGCCCGATCTCGGGCAAAGCGAAGCCGACGGGAAAAGATCCGCAGAAAATCTTGGTTGTCTCGTGATGGATTGAACTTGGTGCACGCTCACACAACCTACCCCAGGTTTCTATTTGCTTGGTTTCCTCGCTGCCTGTATGGTAGCTCGTCGTTTCGGGATGAGCGCAGCGTTTCGCGTGCCGTTGCGGGCATTCAAATTGGATCCCGCTACGGTGATCGGACCAACCCCAACAGTCTCGGCCGTCGCGTCCTCATATCGTCTGGTCTCCAAATCGCTGTATTCCTCTTTGCCGAGCTCTCGTGCTCTTGTATCTTCGCGTGCAGTGCGACAATGCCACCCGACCTTGTTCGCCGCTCGGAGACATTGCTATTCGACGAGGAGCTCGCCCCTCTTGGCTGCGAAGGCTCAGGGCCAGCAGGATAACGGGCAGGCACAATCCAATTCGAGCCAGCCTCGGCGGAAGGCTGTCAAGTATGTTGTTGTTGGCGGTGCGCTCGCGGTCGCCGCAGTGGCTTTCTCCGACCAGGGCAAGCATGCATACCGTGCGGCGGAGAGAAGCGGACGTGTGGTCGGCACATTGGCTGTCTGTATCAACGAGTAAGTGGAATTGATCCATGGTCCTACATGCAGCGTCATAAGTTGTCTTCTTCGTTAGCATGCTAACACAATATTGTGCCTTTCCACAGCTACCGCATCACCCTCAAGCAAGAAGCCTCGACCCCCGAAGAACACGAAGGACTCATTCGCGCATGCCACAAGCGCTGCGCCGAGCGCACCTTGCGCGTGCTGGAGCAGAACGGGTCGATCTTCATCAAGCTAGGCCAGCATCTCAGTAGCATGGGTTACTTGCTGCCACTCGAATGGACCACGACTTTCATCCCGCTGCAGGACAAATGCCCCGTCTCGTCGATCGAGTCCATCAGCGAGATGTTCCTCGCCGATACCGGGAAAACCATCAACGAGCTCTTTACGTCCTTCGAACCCGAGCCCACCGGCGCGGCCTCGCTCGCGCAGGTGCACATCGCCACGCTCAGGGAAACCGGGCAGAAGGTCGCGGTCAAGGTCCAACACCCGGCGCTGGCGGAGTGGGTGCCGCTAGATCTGGCGCTTACCCGGTTCACTTTTTCTATGCTGAAGCGCTTCTTTCCGGAATATGACTTGGAATGGTTGTCGCGCGAGATGGATCTGTCGCTGCCGCAGGAACTGGATTTCCGTATGGAGGGCGAGAATGCCACTCGCGCCAGCGAGTATTTCAAGGCGCATTCGAATGTGCCGCTGGTAATTCCCAAAGGTAATTGCACCTTTTGATTGCTTAAATGCCAGTATATATATTGTCGATGCTAACGAGAGCCCAGTGATGTGGTCCCAAAAGCGCATCCTCGTCATGGAGTTCATCGCCGGCCGCCGCCCAGACGACCTGGAATACCTGGACGCCAACCACATCGACCGAGATGAAGTGTCAGCGGCGCTGGCTCACATCTTCAACGAGATGATCTTCGGCGATAACGCGCCGCTCCACTGCGACCCGCACGGCGGCAACATCGCCATCCGCCCGAACCCCAGCCGTCGCAACCCGAATTTCGACATCATCCTCTACGACCATGGCCTGTACCGGAACATCCCACGCGACCTCCGCCGTAACTATGCCAAGCTGTGGTTGGCCGTCATCGATGCTGATGTGCCTCGCATGCGCGAGTACGCGCGCAAGGTTGCCGGCATCACGGACGAGCAGTTCCCGCTCTTCGCTAGCGCCATCACCGGCCGCGACTACAGCGTACTCACGAAGAAGAACGTGGTGTCTTCGCGGACCGCAGAGGAGAAAGAGGATATCTCCGGTGCATTGGGTGAGGGCATGCTGCAGCAGCTAGTGGAGATGCTAGGCCAGGTTCCGCGCATTATTCTGCTTATTCTCAAGACCAATGACCTGAGTAAGCGCTCCCTTCCCCCCCCAGATTCTATTTAACCAGTGGGAGTTTATCTTCGTTGGAACCACGTTACTAACATCTTTCTAGCCCGCAGCCTCGACGAAAACCTGCATACCCGTCAAGGACCCATGCGCACATTCCTGATTCTGGCGCGGTACGCCACGCGCACCGTGTTCGAAGAGAACATGGAATTCATCCGCGAGTCCGGCGGCATCCTGCACTTCTGCAACTTCTTCCGATTCCTGCGCGCCTGGGCTGGGTTCCTTCGGATCGAGGTGAAGCTGTCTATCTATGAGACACTGCTATCGCTGAAGAGCCGTCTCGGGTTGCTCAATGCCTAAACGGGCCGAGCTTTGGGGCACTGCCACTCCCAAAGGCCTTTGCCCTTGTCCCTGTCTGTGTCTTCCGTATATATATATCCGTTGATTTCTTTTGTTGATTTGGTGGGTTCAAAAGGCACGGATTGTCTTTGTCTGTGCATCAGCGATGGCGTTTTCTTTTCTGTGCTCGTGCTTCGATTCTTCCTCGTTCCTTGACCTGATTGATGGTATAAGTGCCAATTCCCTCCGCTCTGTTCTGCGTTTGCCTCAAAATAGACCGAATTGGTCTCGTGTATAGATAGATTCGCAGATAGATTTGGAACATAGATTCATACTTTGTTGCTTCAGCACGGCGTTGATATCATCAAGGCATGGATGTAGCAACCGCTCTTTTACGAAGGTATGAATGGAAAAACTCCTGTTTTCATCGTTTCATTAGGAAACTATGCCGGTACCTAAAGCTTTTCAAGAATGAAGAGTGTCGATCGAGGATCCCAGATAACCAAGGCGCCGTCACAGAGGGAAAAAAAGAAAAAAAAAGTGCCGAAAAGGAAACAACAAAAGAAAAGAAAATCTGTACAATCAAACAAATGCGCAATTTGTTCGCTTCGTCCATTATCCCCAGTCGAGCCTCGCAGAGTTTCACTCCGACACTCTCCATGCCAATCTCATGAATCTCCTCCGAAAATGGATCGATCCCCGATCCAAACGATTGTGCTTGGGGAAAGACAATCTTGAAAGAAACAAGAAAGGAAGAATTTCATCGAAATCAAATGAATGAATTCCTCCTCTTCTCACTTGAGAAACCTTGGCCAGGATCTGCAAGCATCTTTGATCTTTTTATGATTTTTGTTTTCTTATACGGCGGCGGCGGGGCTGCCACCGGTCTGCTCGATCTCGACCTTGACGTCGGGGATGACGCCACCAGTCCCAGAAAGATCTGTGGCGCGAGAGTTGGGGTTCTTGGTATAGTAGTTGGAGATGGCAGACTTGATAGCATCCTCAGCGAGCATGGAGCAGTGCACTAGAGAGGGGTCAGTATCATCAAAGTAAGACCATAGAACGACACAAAAGGGAAAAGTAAAAGACATACACTTGACCGGGGGCAGACACAGCTCCTTCGCCACATCGGTGTTCTTGATCTTGCCAGCCTCCTCGAGAGTCATACCGCGGACAAGTTCCGTCAGATAGCTCGACGACGCGATAGCACTGCCGCACCCAAAGGTCTTGAAGACGACATCATCGATACGACCGTTGTCCTTGTTCACGCGGATCTGGAGCTTCATGACATCGCCGCAAGCGGGGGCGCCGACCAGACCCGTGCCGACGTCCTGGTCGCCCTTCTGGAAGGAGCCCACGTTCCGCGGGTTGTTGTAGTGGTCCAGCACCTTCTCATGGTATCCTCTACGCTGCACAGCGGGGGCCGGCGAGGCTCGCTGGATGGGCTGCTGGATGGAGGGTGATGATGATGATGCCGAGAGGCCCGCGAAGGGGGCGAGGGAGCGCGGTGTGACAGAGCCGACGCGGGGAGCGACGGTGACGAGACGCTTGAACATTATGGTGATTGGGTTGAGTTGGTTTTCTGATGGGAAAAAGGTGTGTTTCTTCGATGAAGTGTTGAAGTGGCGTTGAGTGAGAGAAAACGGCAATCTGATTAGGAGGACGAATTCATGAAATAATCTGATGGCTATGTCAGCCGCTAGGCCCAATGGGGTAAGCATTTCCTCGGACCTCCGGCCTTCGGAGATGAGTCATCTTCCTCTTTCTTCACGTCCACGCTCAATGCTCGTCGATTTAATATCTCAAAGAACTCGGATAATTCTGAGATATTGTATTACAGCATTAAGCAATTCCTACAATAGAATTCTCTCATTTTGTGGAGAGAAACAATTTACCAGCATACTCGAGGTGATATCAATCCCGTGGCGAGACCGTTGGGCGCTGGTTTTCTGGTTCCCGTTCGCCAATGGCCGTGCGACGATATCAAATGGTGGAGACGATGTGTTCATGCTGAAATAACATGAACTGATGTGATTCAACGGAACCGGATTGTTGATATGGGGTTTGCACCGATCCCCCGATTGCTATTAATTGAGGGGTCACTGTATTGCGATAGGTCTAGCTAAAATTCATCCAGGTCAGCCACGGCTCGTGGCACTCCGTCCCATCGAGCCAGTCCAAAAATGGGCGCCGGTCGTCTACATCAATGCTATGAAGCAGATCCGGGCTGACCAAGTTTAGTTCCTTGGGATCCAGCTCCAGCGCCGAACTACTACCCGACGGAATATCGCTCACACTGTGCACTGAGAGCACCTGGTCCAAGACATGGCGGATAGCGCGACGCCCCTGCTGCGCGATTTGGTGGTTGCCTTCGTCGGGTTGGATCATGGTGTCCAGATGCGATGCAAAGATGCTGAGCTTTTGGATGATCTCCGATCGCGGGAATATTGTAGATTCAGGCATTCGCAATCGAGACCGGCGGAGCAAATCTGCAGACAAAACACCGGCGGAAGGGAGTCCTGCGTAGCACAACTAAAATGGACCATGACGTGAGAAATTTCATACTTCAATTTAAAGGGCGCAATCGGGAAAACAATCCACTGGCGTGCACTTACACTCCAGGCGATAGCCCACCCCAGGCTTCGGTAGCGGTTCGCCTTGGCAACCATCGAGAGAAGAGCATTGAGAATCTCGAGCGCGGTGCTGATCATCCCATCGGGTTGGGTCTGGGTGCGTTTAGCAAGAAGCCTATACAGTAGAAAATCATTGTATAGGAAATCGAGATGGAACTCGAATAGCAGGTGATCATCCACTCTCGACACCAAGTTGCTCTCGGGATGCCAATGGAGGAACCTCGGCAGCCCATGATACAGCTTGTGCGATTCTTGCGATAATTCCCTGTCTATCGTCAGTCTGATGAACACAAATAGTAAGCCAGAAAACATCGCTTACTCAATCTGCTCAGCCAGATTATCCGTACTGCGACTCAATGACAACCCTAGGATTTTTTCGCGGAGGATACTCGTGAGCAGGGCAACCCGAGCATATGCACCCTTTTTCAAAGACCCTTCTCGGTTCCAGCCATCCGGAGATAGGTTTGCAATCGCCGTATCCCGTACAGCTGGTTCCGAGGCTATCTCTTCAAAGCTGAGATCCAACGGCATGGGGATGTCACAGTAGCGCCAGCTGATGAGTGGCGGGCGGCCCAGAAAAGTCGCAAGGATCTTGTCCGCAGTGTATGCCCCAACCATAGTCCGCTTGCGCATCTCACGGATGAAAAAAGGGCAATTGGTGGATTCCTGATGTAGTCCCAGCGCAAAGACAGCGGTGGTCAATTCGCCGAGCCTCCTCCAAGGACGATAATCTGCCTCAGCCAAAATCATGTTAGATAATGCCATGAATACCGCAAGAAGAAAAGGACATACTACATACCGCTTTCTCCATAGACATTTGTCAAAAGTGAGGTTTGCTGTAAAAGCAGACTACACACAAGGTCGTTAATGATCCCAGCGCTATCGCAGAACTGCAGGCATAGATCGGCCACGGCAGTGGCGGTGACTGCGACGCTCTTCGCTTCGGCCCATCCATTCTGCTTGAACATGGAATCCTCACTCGAGGTAAAACCAAGTGAAAGACCCACGGTGGTGAATAACAACCCGATGGTTTCCCATCGCCCTGTCGTGGCCGACGCAAACTCGGCCCATGACATCGAAGGATGGATCTCAACCGGACGGGTATGCTTCTCGAAGAGTCGTTTGGACAAGAGAAGTGCGCGCTGACTCTCGTCGGTTTCTTCACGAGTAATCGCATCCCACATTTCTTCCGTGGTCGTCAACACCATATTGGTGACCGGCCAGCCCAGGGTCCACCCTTTCCAGACCTTGAACCGAGCAGTGATGATCGCCCGGTACATGGGAAGATACTTCAATAGGAGCATCGCCCGCGCGCCTAATTGGATTCGCTGCGAGTCCACCGGCACCGGGTCGTTGGAGGAAGAGAGACTCCCGATTGACAGGTCGCTGCCCTGGTCCGTGAACACATCCGAGTAGCTAGTGTTGCCCAAAAACCCGGGCGTGGACACGGATGTTTTCTTTTCGCTCCAGTGATCCAAATCATCATGCAGATTGACTTCAGTGGTGGGACGGCGCTTGCGCCTCTCGCGTGGGATAGTCGGTTGTGTTAATGGTGCTGGATGGTAGACGCAGAGATGTTGCCTGCCGCGGCGGACGCAGCGGCCGCACACGGGGGTTGCGTGGTCGCAACGCAACTTGGATTTACGACATGGCTCACACGAAGAGAGCTGGCCATTGCGACGAGTGGTTGACATTGCATGGGGTATCACAAGTAGATCAGATCGCTAGACAATGTAGAATGAGGGAAAAAGCCGTTGAGTCGGAGTTCGGCGCTCGACACTCAGCCGGCTCGGACTAAACCCTAATGAATGGCCGTTCTTGGCAATTCCGACGCTGAGATCGGAGGCCGTGACAAGTGTATAGCTAAAGAAATAAAAATAAAAATACATGAAAGAAAGACGGATGTATTCTGCTATTGCCTTGGTTTTATTGGCGGTAGTTTTGGTGTGATAAACTCTGCCGCCGATGTTCATCTCACGCAAGAATGCTGCCTAGTCGATTCCTGTACTGACTATAAACCCCCCTCGACCTGTCCGTCCCCCCCAAGATTCTTCTCTGCAAGTGATAAATTTTGTCTGCCAAAAATGCCTCTCTCTAGCCCTGTACCAAATATCTGGTGGAAGCTTGTTCAGCCACAAGTAAGCTCAACTGAGAACACACGAAGGCTCGATTACTAATGTCGAGAGAAAAATCAAGAAGTATTCTGTATCAAATGATGACTCAAGTCCTCTTGTTGCTGCTTCCAGCGGCGGACAGTCGCAGTATTCCACGGAAGAGAAAAAGGGATTGGACGCACTCGCGTTGCAGCAGACCCAGTATAGTGAGCAATCCCTAGACCTGTGCTTGGATATGACAAAGATAATCAAAACTAGCTATGACTGCACTTTTGCCCAGAAGATAATGTCTCTCTTTGGAATCTTTCACCATATAGTCTACTTGTCTTGTTGATAATGAACATTGATTCTCTCAATGCCTCATCTACTCCGAATTTGTAATATAAGAATATGCAATAGTCACATAATGCCCGCAATACGTAGCCACCTGATGGCTAAAGGCTAGAAAATGGATTAGAAAGGGCTTGAAGTTGTAGACATCGAATATTCAAAATAGTAGTAATTATAGCTATCAGTCCAGAGATATATTAAATAGATGATATAGTCTCTTAAATGGAGTAAAAGATAGGCAATGAGGGTATTGGAATTTAAGGGTTTAAATCTCTACCATGTCTTCTAAAAAATCCTGACTGAAGCGAGGATTAGTGGATTGTATACGATAGATTCACTTTTCTATGCCTAGCTTTTCTAGCAGTAAGATAAATGAAATATATCGGAATACATGGTTTTGCTATTTCAGCCCAAGATTCTCTCTGAATTTTCACTGTGTTCTAACTTTTACTTCGCCAACCCAAGCAAGTCCCTAAAATCCCTATCCTTCAACCAATCGTCAAATCGCCTTTTCTGCACTCGGGATCTGAGCTGGCCTGGCTCAATCACACCCGACACACCTGCACAATAGCCAAATTCACCAACGAACGCAGGCCCCTCAAGAACTTCAATAGGAATACCCATGGTGTCATGCATCTCTTGGACCGTCATGCAAACCAACTGGACTTGTTCCCCAATAACTCTCGACCAGACAGAGACAATCTCATCAATAGAGAGGTAGTCATCGTATGCTAAGAGCTTCGTCCCCGGCGCCTCATCCTCCACCAGTGCTCTGACGAAAGGCCCCGTTGACTGAGCGGTATCAATGATCGGTAGCCGGGTATCCTTTGTGGTCGGGACAACAGAAATATATTTCCCAGTGTCTGGCTGCAACTTGGGCTGAAGAAATGGGTTGGAGACATAGGCGCCAATATAGATAAACGATGTCTTTTTCGACAGCGCGGGCAGAGCCGTTTCGATATAGTCGACAATGTGCGCCTTGGTATCCCAGTGATACGAATGTGCGTACTTTCCCCCAGAGGCAGCCTTTATAGGGCCCAGCGCCGAGTACACGAATCTTTCCAAGGTAGACACGCTGGCCGCTGCGCGCGCCGCGTTCTCGCCATGCAGGATCTCCGTGTCCCAGCCGTGCTGCGAGCTCGTCAAGGCATCGGCGCCAGAATCGAGAGCCTGGCGGTATGGGATCCAGAAATCGGTATTGACAAAGATGGCATGGGCTCCGCTGAAAGCTCGACGCAGGGACTCTTCGCTTGCGAGGTCGGCCTGCAAGAGCTCGGCGCCCTGCTCGGCTAGCTGGAGTGCTTTCTCGGAAGCCGGCTGTCGGGTCAGGCAGCGGACGTACCAGCCTGGGAGAGTCAGGAATGTCCGAGCTACTGAAGAGCCTTGGGTGCCGGTCGCACCCACTACTGCGATGGTCTTTGTTGGTGGAGTCATTTTGACGGATCGCTGAACCGCAGCGGGCGGAAGGGTGGATGACACTAAGGTCGCCCTCTATTACCAGTCAGAATAATGTTCAAATGACAAAGATGGAAAAGGTGGACTTTTTGGAACGGCAATATTGCACTGCTCAAGAGAGAACAGGCTGAATTTATAGAGGCCTCTCTGGCTATAGTTTGCGCAATCTGATTGGCTGCCAAGCGTAAGCCGAAATGGCTTACGGCTCGGAGTTAAGGGAAAGCGAGAATCTCGTCGTGGCTGACCCTCTGAGATTGGCTTCTTACCTCTGCATAATCCAATCTTGACAGAATCGAAGTCAGAATGTCTTCTCCCACGACCAAGATACCGTCAATCACTAGCTCATCCCATCAACCCAAGCGGCGGGTCATCACACCCGCCCGCAGGGAACAAAACCGGGCAGCGCAGCGGGCTTACCGTATGTTCGTCCTCTTCTGGCCAAATGTAAAATTCAAATTAACATTCTTTGGCTGAAGGGGAGAGGCAGAGGGAACATCAAAAGTCCTTTGTTCCCCGCGGCAAACTCCGAAAGCTTGTACCTCGGAATTCATCAATTTCGACGTCAGAGAAATCGTCCTGTTTCAATTCCAGCTCTAGGCCTTCTTCTTTACACCAAACCTCTTTCTCAACTCAAGTGGCTTCAGACGGCACTCAGCAGTCACCTAGCATTGGCCATGAAGAGTCGAGCAAGGTGTGCCAGCATAATTTGCCCGCAACGCAACATCATCGGCAAAAAAGCAACTTATTGAACATTGAGAAAAATTCTATGAGCTCTGTGCTCTCTATGAAGGAAATAATCTCTCAGCCAGAACAATCTCTAGATCTTCTCGATACCGAAATACTGACGGGGGAAGAGTTCACGCCAGCTCATGTTGACCAAGGTAAAGCAATTATTCCAGGGCAAAGAACTGTCGGCTAAAAAAAAAGAAAAATAGGAAAATTCAATGATGGAATTCAAGATCTAATGTCGTCCATACAATCTCCATCTACCGGTTTCTCAAATATACCCGGAGCAACCAGCATCCATTCCAAGAGAACAGATTCTCTATCCCGACCTCTATATATCGAAGACACCTGTCATCAAGCCGAAACAGAATCAATAAAATTTGCGGATCCGGTCATGAATACCCTCCAACCGTCCTATACCACAACCAAAGCAGCAGTCCTCGCAAATGCCCTCTGCCTAGGTTTCGACCTCGAAAAGCTAACAAACTGCAAAACCACATATATGTCACCATTTTTCCAGCCCATCACAGAAAAGAAAAGTCCACAAGCACTTGTTGCATCGACCTTCAGCACCTCAATCCCTGTCCACTTGCAACCGACCATGGCGCAGATCCTCATCCCGCACCACGCCAGTCTGGACTTGATTCCGCTGCCGCTCTTCCGAGAACGTGCTATTATGATGTCATTTGCCATGCCTGATGTCTTTGATCTCTGGGATTTGAAATTGGATATCTACATTCGAGATGCGCTTGTGTGTCGGCGTCATAGGCCTGGCGATGCCTGTCAGCCCTGGAATAAGAAGAGCTGGGAGGGGATGCCTTGGTTCTGGACAAAATGGGGAATGGCGACATAGATGTTGAAATTGGAATATTTCCTCGATTTTGGGAATCTTTTTTTTAAATCTATTTTTACTGCCCAAAAACAATATCCGAAGCTATAAATGTGTGTATGTGTATTGCCATAAAGCAGTAATTCTACGTTAACGACATGATGAAAATCTTCTATAACTATTTATGCCACCTCTATCTTTTATAATAGCACTGGGTAATAATTAATAAGTAACTATACTACTATTTGCACTGATAGTGTAGGCATTGGACTATCACGGACACTTGTAGTTTAAACTCTTGGCATCGCCCTCCAATTTAGTCACGCATCTTTAATCCCACACCTTCCACATCCTTCGCATTCGTCGCTCTTCATCACCCCATCCACTACATTAAACTACCGAAGGTCAAATGACACAACAAAAGTCACCGAGTCCGAAGACACTGGGTAAATCATCAGGGGTAAGTTGACACCATCGCCCTATCCAGGAGCAATTGCAAGTCCCACCATTTTCTCTTGAATCGCAACCACACGTAGATCAATTGACCCGAAGTCTTGGCCTGGCTTTTATTATACATGCGAATTATTTTAATTCTAGCGCGGAGAAAAACATTCACTAACTTACCCCCATCAAGTCCCTCAATGCCCCCATAGCCGCTTTCACTATGGCCATCGTCCTCTGCTCCTATTGCTTCAGCTCCATCCGCACAGCACGACGGGAGGCACAGATTCCGAACAAACCAGGTTCCAGTTCAGATCAGCGAGCTGCTTTGGCAGAGAAGAATGAGTCATCTTGGGTTCGACAGGCTCTTGAAGAGAGTAGGGCGGAGAGAGATAGGAAGAGGTCGCGGTAGATTTATAGTCAGAAATAAAACACTTTTATAGATTTACTTTCTAAATAGAATAAATCGATAGTGGTAAAAGGAAGAGAAAGAAAGAAAAACACACAAAAACAAAATATACAACAGCCATTCTGCATATGGTGATCACCTAGCGGCGACGATCCAGTCTGCGGGGACCTATTCAGTCGGCCTCCAGGCGATAGTTCACCCACCTGAATATTCTTCACCTAAAGGGGTGAAATCCCAAGCAAAAAGCATCTTTATCACATTTTAGCGGGAGAAAGGATGTAGCGGCAGAGGGGCTGACACCCTTGTTAGAAGAAAGTGCCCGGGAGTCCCAACCCTAAATATCTATGCAGTGGGCTGGCCAACCAGTATCAGTTATATGTTTTGTTTCTTTCTTTCTCTTTAATTTAATTTAATTTAATTTATTGAATCGATTTATATATTTGATAGAAAGAAAAGCTAGTAGTTTCTCGTAAACATCACATGAAATAGATAGCTGATCCGCCAATCTACTTATGAACCCTTCTACCTTTCTACCGTTTAGTAGTTATATAGGGTCCTTACCGTTACTTTTACTGATAATGTAGTTCCGGTAGTGGTCAATTAGTAGCCGTTTTCTACGTCCTATATAGATACCTAGCTTCTCACGTAACTTGTTGCCTAGCGTTGTTTAGTATGTTGTTTGGCTCTCAGTAGCCCATCGGTAAGTTGACTCCCACTTAGTTGACTCCCTTAAGTGGTCGGCTGCTGTAGAGGTTGTAACATCAGGGCAATTCTCGAAGAAAATCTACTTTATTATCTATACTACCACCCTACCGATAAAGCTCGCTATTTTGACTTTGAAAATAGTGCTTATATACTTAAAATAGTTAGCTATCGAGTAGCTGGCTAAAATAAGTATTATAGAGTATAAAATAGATCGGAATAATATTAAGTCATTAACAGAAATCAATAAAATCGTACATTAAATATGAACCATAATTATCTATTAAAATAGCCGTTTTTAACCCTTCGAAACGCGATATATTATATATAGGTAGAATGTTACGCGTATCTAACTGGTCACTATGAGCTGGTCCTTAAAGGTGATACTTCTATTAGCAACTACGAGTCTAAATCCTATCCTTAATTGTACTGATACCTATTACGCGTCGCCTCTCTTAGCCTTTTTTTATTAAGGTTAACGATAGATAAAATATATTATTTTTATTTCTCTAAATATTCTTCTATTAATAATATTATAGGCTTATAAAATTCCCTAATGCCTCTAAATCGATTATTATTTATATATCTTTATATATAATATTAACTATTATTTTTATATAAGCTTTTTATTAAATAGCTATAAATTATTATAGATCTTTTACTCTTTTATTCTTTTATTATATATCTAAAGATTTTAGTTTCTATTATAGTAAGATTTCTTAATATAAAAATTATGGTTTAATCCTATAATTTAATATCTTTTATTAATAGATTATATTGTCGTAGTCGTAGTATTTTAGAACCGCGTAGATATTATACTTTACATATTATATATAATCTCGATAGGAATATCGTAGATATTTATATAGATATATAGGTTTATTCTAGGATTATTTCTTTTTATAAATTAGCTTATTTTAAAAATCTTTTATTTTATCACTTATTATTACTATTTTAGATTATTCGTTATTTTAAAAAATTTTAATAGATTATTCTAGATAGATTACTATTTATAGGATCTCTAGGATTCCTAGGACTTTAATAAATATCTTTAGGATCTCTATACCCTATTTTTAAGAGTCGCTCTATTTATTCTAGGAGTCGATAGTATTTTAGAGACTATATTAGGTTTATTCTTAACTTTTAATATATTTTAATTAATCTCTAGGAATCGTTTTATTTCTAACTATAGTATTAATAATTTATTATTATCTATAATTATTAATCTTATTTAGTCCTTTTCCTATATTATATAGAGCTACTAGATTTTTCTTTTAGTTTTTATAGTACTAATTATATTATATATTTTTATTAAGCTATTTATTTATTATTTATATCTAATATAGCTTATTATTATATTATTTATATTTTTTAATTAGTATCTTAGTTTTCTATATTTAAAATATAGATTATTTTCTTTATATTAATATTATTTTTTATCTAGGAGCTTTATTATATCAAGTTTTATTAATTATAGAATATAAAGATTATTATATTATTCCTTTAGTAGTTATCTAGTTTATCTATTCTCTTATTAGTAGAATCTTATTGTAAAGGGTCTACCAAGATAGCAAGGCATGGGGTTATTCCTAACTGACAGAAGGGGTGAATCAGGTGATATCACATGATCCTGAAGGAAGTTAGAACTTGTTACTTGATCTACCCTATAGTGGAATAATCACGATATATAATAGAGACCTAGTCGTTTATATTATCGATGATATATAAAGTTATAAAGATATTATATAATAAATTAATACTCTCGTATCTAGCTAGTAAGATAAGATTTAGTTTTAATAGTAATAAAGATATACTACTTTCCCTTACTTTTTCCCTTTATTTCTTTATCTAATTAATAGACCTTATATCTTATTAAATATATTCTTTATAATTCTAAATCTTCTTCTTTAATTACCTAAAAAAATAGGATAACCCTACGGACCTAATCTATTATAATATATTAAGATAATACTCCCGAAGAGATATCGTAAACCCCTCTATCCGAAACTAACTAGACCTAACTAGATAAAGATCTATAAACTATCTAAGAAATAATTGAAAAACTTTAATATCTATAAGAGTTATAATAAATAGTCTAATAGATAAGAAGTTAGCTTAAATAAAAGAATAATACTAAATCTTTAGCGAATTAATAATAAAATTAGGGTTTATCCTTTATAGAAGATAAAGATAGGATTAGGATTAAAAATATCTTAATACTCTTAATCTACTCTTTTTTTTAATAGAGAGAAAAATGGCTCTTAGATCTCTCTCTTATCTTTAAAAGAGTATTATAGAAGTATTATAATAAAGAATAGTAAATTATTATAGCTTTATTATATATAGAATCTATTTATTAGTAAAGATAATACTAATATATTACTAAGAAACTTAAAGAAGAATAATAAAATATTAATATTTTATAGATTTATTTTAAAAATTAGACTCTCTTCTTTATTAAAGATACTATAATTCTTAAAATCGATATTATAAGATAACTATAAAAAGCCTATTAATATCTAGAGTAGGATCCGCAAGAGTTTTATACCTTTTTAGATTTATTAGAGCGATATTTCCCTTACTAAAATAAGAAAAAAGGGTATTTATAATATTCTCGAAATTTATCTATAATCTTAAATAATATATATAGGAATATATATATAAGCTACCTAAAAACTAAGATAGGATAGTATCCTTAATTATATATTACTAAGGATTATTATAATTAATACAAAAATAAAAAGGCCCCGAAACCTTTAAAGGACCTATAAATAAATAATTTTAGATAAATTAATATTAACTAAACTATAAATCTTAAGGACCTAAAAAGAAGATCTAGGAAAGAGAAAGGAACCTAACTAAAAAAAATAAGAAAACCCTTTAATATTATATTTATTAAAATAAAACTTATCTCGTTAATTATTACCCTAATAAATTAAGTAAGAAAACTAATATATAAATAGCTATTTAGATCGAGTTAGAAAATAATAACGAATTAGTCTAAATCCTATATAGCTAACTCTATTATCTTAAATAGGAACTATAATTTATTTTTATATTTTAGTATTACTATAGAATAAAGTTAAAATATATATAAATATAGATATCTATATTAAAATTAATATTATTAGTATTGAATTCGCGGAAAAATATAAGGTATAGAGAGTAAAGCTATTATTGATATTATTTAGAATAGTAGATAATCGAGAAAATTTTTTATATAGTATATAGAAGATATCTATTATATTTACTAACTCTTAAGGGATTACTAAATTAATAATTTACCTTTATTTTATAATTAATAGAGATCTTTATAAATAGAGAAATCTAATCTTATTTTTAATAATAATATTTATTAAATATTATATTTATATTTTATTATAGAACCGAAGCTAGTAATTTAAAGCTACTAAAATTAAGTTAGTACTAGTTTAGGAACTCGCGAAAGAATATTAAAAATATATTATTATCT